GATATCTGAGTCTGGGTTTTTATTATTAAGACCAATTAGGATTTGAGTCACAGGAAACAAACCTATGGACTGTCTGAGGCTCTCCAGGGAGGTCCCTGACATGGGAGAGCACCCCTGGTATGGGTGGAGCACGAGGAGTCACAGAACCCACCTCTCCTCTCTCAGCCGCCTCATGATGCCCCAGCACAATGGACTGTGTCTCCTCAAACTGTAAGCCAAAGATAAACCTGCAGGTGGCTTCTTGCAGGCATTTGGTCACAGCTACAAGAAAAGGACCACACCATCTGAGGATGGGTATGAGCCGGAGCACACACGGTGGAGGACCAGGAGTTCAAGGCCATCCCAAGATCAGCCAGGACTCTAGGGACAACCAAACCAACAAACGCTAGATAGTTTCCACAATGTTTATATGTCACAGCCACGTGCCATGTAAATGCTTCAGTCAACACAGGCTCTCATACTGGTACATTCCACAAACCATTCAGGTTTGCAAAAGCGCTCTGCAACATTCGTGCAATGGCAAGATCACCAAAGAACACATTTCCTTTAGTGTGTCCACACTTTAAGTGATGCATCCTGGCACGGGGACGAAGGTACAATACAGCACAGCTGCTATGACTAAGGCTCCTGGAGACACAGGGAGAGCCCACCAAGGCACCTCAGTGGACAAAGGTGCTTGCTGCTGGGGTGGACAACCTGAGTCTGAGCTCCAGCACTGACATGCACAAGGAGAGAGCTGACTCTGCATGCTGTCCTGACCTCCACATGCAAGCAGTGTGTGCACACATGTGCATACACACATAAACAAATGTAACAAAAAAGAAAAACATTTAAAAAGAAAAGAGAAGCCGAATATTCTGGCTTTCCTTATCACTCAGAGGGCCAGCAGACTTAGGGGTGCTGAACCTTCATTCTGACTTGAGCTCAGAGCAGAGGCTGGACATGCCTCTTGTAACAAAAACTGTCACCTTGGACAAGGTGTGTGGTACCCAGCTGTTTAGTTACACCCTGGTCCAGATATCACCGCAACATTGTCTTGAGGCTAACGCCTAAAGTCAACTGGCTGTATACACAGATTATCCTCCATGGAGAGGGTGATCCTTGACTACATACAGATTACCCTCCATGGAGGGGGTGATCCTTGGCTACTTAGCCAAAGGCTGTAAGAGCAAAGCGATTTCCTGGAAAAGGGACAATTCTGCTTCAAGATGCCATAAGCATCCTGCCTGCCCGCCCTGCACACTGCAGACGTGCCCTTACCACAGCTTCAAGGCAATTCCTCAAGGCTCTGAGGACAGGCATACATATACCCATCGGTTCTCTTCCTCCACAGAAACTTAACTGATGTAACTACCATTATCAAACACTGACGGCTCTAGAAATTAGCTTTTGCTACAGATATGGTAATGTTTTTTGGTGGCTTTAACCTAAAATTATAAGGCAAAAGAGTGCTTATATGGAAAATTTACACTCAGAGCTGTCTGAATCAAGGTGCCTCTTATATGCCCTGTGCCATCAAATTAAAGCCGAGTCTCCATGGCACACTGACAGGCAGATGTATTTTCTGAGCTCAAACTGTACTTCAGTTACGTTGTTTTTGCATCTTGATTCCAATACAAAAGAAATTTCCATAGTGCCTTTAGTTTTGAGACAGGGTCTCATGTAGCCCAGGCTGGTCTCAAACTCACTCCTGATCCTCCTGCCTCTACATGTGGAGTGCTGGGATCACAGGTATGCAGCACCACACTGGTTTATGATGCTGGGACAGAACCCTTGGCCTGTGCTAGGCAAGTACTCTACATCAGAGCCACATCCCCAGCTCCACACAGTTCATTTAATTGTGTAACAGAGGGACTTCTATCCAAACTTCAATTGGAGGTAATTAACAATGTAATGACATGCCAAAAAGGCAAGTATCAGGAGAAAAATGTTATAAAATTATTTAAACCCATTCCAAGTAATAAACAGGCCCAATTAAAATCTTACTTTCCTCTGGGCAGTGGTGGCGCACTCTGTTAATCCTACCACTTGGGAGGCAAAGTCAGGTGGATCTCTGAGTTCGAGGCCAGCCTATGTTCTTGAGGCCACTATCATGACTACAGCCATGAAGTACTGGGGAAGCACACGAATAAAGTGTGGACTGCCTCAGAGCCCTAAGTGGAGAGTGGGAAAGGAAATTCAGAGCCTTCTTTGTATGTGTGCGCACACACACACAGAGAGTTTAAATATATAAACCTTGTATACCAACAATGGTTAAGGATTCGAGATGGTAAGGGTCACTTGACCTCTTTATTTTTGCTGTGAAGAACATTAGGGATACTATCCAGATTACTATTCATGGAAGCAATTGTCTCTCAGGGTGCTAATGTTTTGAAAAGGGATCTGGGCATAACAATCTGTTTTCTATCTTTATTGTCTTACACAGAGTGTCATACCACCCAGGCTGTCTGTAAACTCTCCATGTAGTTGAAGCTGACTTTGATTTCCTGCTCCTCCTGCATCACCATGTTCAGCTCAGCACAACAATCTCAATCTCTAACTGTAGTTATGTTTTTATTTTTAAAATTTCATTTATTTATAAGTGTTTTGTCTACATGTGCATGCCTGGTCCCCTAGGAGGCCAGAAGAGGAAGTTGGATCCCCTGGGACTGGAGTTACAGGCAGTTGCAAGCCATCATGTGAGTACTGGGAATTGAACCTGGTCCTCTGGAAGAGCAGGAAGTGTTCTTTAACTGCTGGGCTACCTCTCCAGCCCCAGTTTAATTTTTTTTTTTTTTTTTTTTTTTTTTTTTTTTGGTTTTTCGAGACAGGGTTTCTCTGTGTAGCTTTGCGCCTTTCCTGGAACTCACTTGGTAGCCCAGGCTGGCCTCGAACTCACAGAGATCCGCCTGGCTCTGCCTCCCGAGTGCTGGGATTAAAGGCGTGCGCCACCACCGCCCGGCCCAGTTTAATTTTTATATAGTAACTAACAAGTAAGATTGCTTGAGGGGAGGGAAGGTGCTCAGCAAAGATATGTCCAGAACACAAAGATCAGATTCAAATAACAAAGCTTCAAGAATATTGTAGTGCCAGGCAATGTCTAAAAACAGTTTGTCTCATAGGGTAACTAAGTATTATAAAGATTAAAGAGGGCCATGCATGGTGGTCCACGCCTTTAATCCCAGTGTTCAGGAGGCAGAGGCCAGAGCTCTATAGGTTCTGGACCAGCCTACTCTACAAACGGAGTTTGATCAGAAATGACCCCACCTCAAGATTGACAGGCTGAATGGTGGTACCAGGGCAGGCTCAACGTTTCCTGAATACTCAGGTAAGTGCGATGTATACTGAGGTTTTAAGGCTTCCAAGGTAGGTTACAGGTGGAGACTGTTTCCAGTGGGCCTCTGCTGTTACAGGCTGACCTGTACACACCCTTCCCTCTTCTACCTCAGGACTTAATTTTTTCTATGAAGATTCTAGTCACACTGATGTGTTTTCAAGGTGCTCTAGCCAGAGTGTATGAGCCTGAGAGTTCGATTGAGATTTTTTTTTTATTTTGTGGACCTCAGTTCAAACCCAACCTTTGTACTTGCTAGGCAAGCCATCTACCACTAACTTACATCCCCAATCCTCTCCTGAGAAGTTTATTTTCAGTCCAGTGCCACAAGAACAAGAATCAGCTGGGTTGATAGCTCAGTTGTGAGGTACATAATTCCAAGTGTGAGTCTGATTCAATCCCCAACACTAAAAACAAACAAAAAACCCCAAACAACAACAAAACCACCAAGAACGACCCTGGTGTGGCAGTGTGCCCTATAATCTCAGCACTCAGAAGTAGAGGGAAGAGGGCCACACACAGGAGGCCTCTGGTACAGAGCAAATTTAAGAACACTCTGGGTTCTAAACCAACCACTCCCAATAACATGTTGTGAGCTCAAGGTCTTTGCCCAGCGATTCTTGCTCCATGAGCTCTGAAAGAACTTCTTCCAAAGGCAGGGCTCCTTAGTGCCTTCCTTCCAATCCAGGAGCCACTTCCCATTCTTCTATAAACTCTCATTTTAGTAAGGTCATCCAGAGCCACCTTTCAATGCTTGCAACCCAAGGAACCAAGACATCAAGGAATACAGCTACCTATCTGATATAATCTACCTACCCAAGTGGGTGGGTAGGACTGCGGTCAATCAAGACACCTTCACTACTTTCTTTCCCAACGTACCCTCCTTACCAAGGGCAGAAGACCATGGCACATCTCTTTTGAGAGTTTGATCAATCCAAGCTAGAATTCACCTGCTTAGCCACAAAAACCTCATTTTTCTTTTTCTTTTTTAAATTGTGTGTTTGTGTGTGCACACATGTGCTATGGCTTGCGTGTAAAGGTCTGAGGACGACTTGCAGAAGCTGGTTCTCTCCTTCCACTGTGTGGGTTCTGGGGAGCAAACTCATGTCGTCAGGCTCATCAGCAGGCACCTACTGAACCCTCCTGTCACCTGACACCTGACTCTTTTCCTGGGCGTGCTGGGATCTGAGCTCAGGTCTCCATGTTTTGGCGGTGAGTGCTCTTGTTCACTGAGACACTTTTTGAGTGAGGGAAAACCTGTTCTAAGGATCTGTAGACGAAACCAAAGTACCATCCAACACCATGCATAATACAAGATGTCAGAAAATAACGTAAGACCCAAACCCTTTCAAAAAGTGGCGTAAACCAGGCATGGTGTTATGTCCTTGTAATCCCAGTACTCAACAGGCTGGGGAAGGAGGGTCATGAGTTTGAGGCCAGTCTGGCGAGATAGCAAGGTGAGGTCTCAAACAAACGGAAGCAGCTCAGACTCTGAAACATAAAGAACTTACCCAAGGTTCCTCAGCAGTGGGGCAGGCCTGAGTCTAGGACAGCGTTCTCGGAGATGTATCTGGGAAACCATCCATTCTTCCATCAACATAACTGCTGCAAAGGGAACACACTCCTCTCTGGAAGCTCTGCTCTCACATCTATCTCCTCCACATAAATTACTCAATCCAGGCTACTGTCAGTTTAGATTTCAGGGAAGAGTTTATTAAGTAATGAAATGAAGTGACTTTAAATCTCCCTTCACCTCCATTCTAGTATCTACCCCTCCACCTCTACAAAGGAGCTGTTTCTAGCAAATGTGGGCAGGATGGAAAAGGAGGCAGTATGGTCTCACCATACAGTTATTCTGCACAATTCACCGTGTGTGGTCTCAACCCTGAGTCCTTCTAAACAGGGCAATTTGCTCAGAGAGCAATGGTGCTACCCTGAGAGCATTTTAGATCAGTTGCCATCTCCTGAGTTCACTGGTCACGTTTGTCACTGTGATCATAAGCAAGTTGTCAGTGGTAGTCCAAGGTAGACAAGAGCAAAGGCTGTTGAGGAAAGGGCCTCTTAGGGGCTTTGGAATCACATATGAAATGCTCAATGCATTAAAGTGCTCAAGTACTTTTTTTTTTAAGACCAGGTCTCACTGTGTAGCCCTGACTGGCCTGAAACTTGTCATGTTGGATAACTATGGTACCTGGGTTGGTCTGGAGCTCACAGAGATCTGTCTGCCCTTGCCTCCCAAGTGGCGGGATTAAATGTGTGTGCACCACCATACTTGTCGCATACTCAAGTACATTTTTAACAGGATACTTGGGAAGGTGTCTACTGGTGAGAAAGCAAAGTACAACCTAAAAAGCTTCTAGAAAGAAGGAGCAAAAAGAAGTATAGAAACAGAGCGGCTGACAGTGTGGGGGAGGACGCTCAGAGCTTAGTGTGGCAATTACTTGAGCTCTGAATCAAACACATCCGTAGCTGGACACCAGCTCCCTGACCTCCTGGGGAAGATGAAGTCAAAGTTTCTGGGTCATCTTGTCCCAGCTCTTCTCCCACTAACCTGTAGGAAGTCAGTGGTTTCCTCACTGGCTAACAACACAAAAAGGGTCATTTAGGTTACGTGATCAAAAGTATGACTTTCCTACAGTCTGCTTAACAAATAGCTGGACTGAGAAACCTGAACTTCCAAGTACACCAGGGTGAGGCCCATAGCCAAGAGTCAGGGGTTCATAACATATATAATCTCTTGGAATGCCTACACAGTCCAGGACTGACGTGGGGAAGGGTAAGACTCCATCAGCAGCAGTCCCTGTCTTACCCTAGAAGTCAGTACAGAGCATGAGCAGTCATTTGTAAGTCCAGTGGGCGGCGGCCCAGCCCTGGCCCTAGAAGTCAGTACAGAGCATGAGCAGTCATTTGTAAGTCCAGTGGGCGGCGGCCCAGCCCTGGCCCTTGCATAAGTCCCGGTGGCGAAGGTAAAAGGCATGGACACGAAACCGACGGCCACAATGGGGACACGCATGCAGAGCTCTAGCATGGGTCTTCATGTGCTCAGTCAGATGGTGCTTCAACTTGAAGCGTTTATTACAGACGCCGCATCCAAAAGGGCGGAGGCTGAAGGTCAACATGATGTGCCGGTCTCGTTTTGGCTTTACTGCAAACCGTTTTCCACACAGGCAGCCAAAGCATTTTCCATCTGCAGGGGGTGTCCCTCCTAGCTTCACAGGCCCATGCACAGCTTGCCCTGATCCTCCAGGTCCTCCACCCCCTGACAGGATTTCATTCCCATGAAGATCCACTGGTTTCCAGGATGGATCTCCTGCCCCAGATGTTTCCCCTCCTCCTGAGGACAGCAAGTATCTTAGCTCCTCATTTCCCTCAGAGTCCCCTCCAGAGAGTGCTTTGGTCTTCTCCTTCGCTCCTCCAGACGGAGTCCTACCTCCTGACGTCTCCTCCTTAGACTCAAGGGGTTCCTGATTAACATATAAGACTTGGGGAGCTCGTACAGGAGGGGCAGGAGGCTCAAGGGTTGAACTCTCATCCTCTGGGGGCTTGCTGGGAAGAGCAGATGTAGGCAGTGGGTGTGATCCACAAGCTTGGGAAAACCCTCCTGATATTCTCTGAGGTTGAGGAGTCTGAAAGAGTGGGGCTGCTGACCCCTGTTCCTCCTCTTCTTCTTTCACCTGAATCTGTAACACTTCTTCTAGTTCACTCGCCTCCCCTCCAATGGGGCTCTCAGTAGAAGCAGAATTCTCTGTAGAAGCAGAGGGCTGAGCTGGGTTCTGGAAAGGGGAAGAGCGAATGCACCAGCCTCCTGAAGATGTTGTGGAAAGAAGTGTGTGGTAGGAGGCTCCTCCACCAGCTGATATCCCACCACCTGAGGTTTCAAGTTCTCGAAGAATCTCTGAGCACTGATCTACTACCTGCCACATCTGCAGGCCACTGGCTACAAGGAGATGGGCAGGGAGCGCATCCAGGGGCAGACGGAGGCGCCCTGAGTAAATGAGCTGCAGCAGTCCCTCGAAGGCATCTGCCTCAATGACACTCGGTAAAGTGAGTCGGGGCGCATCCCCCAAAAGCAGCTTGTCATGGAAGTAAGGAGAAGCAGCAGCCAACACCGCTTTGTGAGCCCTAAGTTCCCGGCCCTGAACCAGGAGCGACACATCACAGAACTTCCCCTCCAGCCTGTGGCGGTTCAGGGATTCCAGCAGCGAAGAGCTATGATGAGGGAACTCAATGTGGATTGTCCGGGGGGCTGGGCTGCACCTCGGAGAAGAGGGTGTGGGGGGCAGAGTCGAAGCATCCATGGCCACCTCGGGAAGAGAAATCCCAGGGGGTCGGGAACAGTAGGACTCTGTGCGGAACGAAGGCTGCGGAGGAAGGAGCCCGGAGTCACACCGGATCGGGACGGGAGACCCGTCTCAAGCTGCCCCCCGCCGACACTCGAAAATTCTTCAGTGACAGTTTCTGTGCATTAGTTCCGCCCACCAAGAAAACCGACGGGACACCAGCCAGGGTGTTTACCCGCAGGCCCTGCGGAAGCCGAGGAGGGGACTGCGCCCCACCCCGCCGGCTCGGGCCGCCCTCGGCCGCCGCCCGCCCCGCCTCACCGTGCTCACGCGGGCCGGCTCCGCAAGCTCCCGCCACGCGCCTTCCCGCCGACACGCCCCCACCGCACGCGAGACCGCCTCGCCGCTGCTCAGCCTCCACTGCGCCTGGTCGGCCGGAAGCTGCCGCCGCTCCGCCGGACGCCGCTGCGGCCAAGCGCGCGGGGCGGGGCCAGGCCGCACCCAATGGAAGGACGGGAGCCTACAAGCCCCCTTCTTATTGGCTGTGCGGCCGGGGGCGGGGCTGGGAGCCGGCCGGCTGCCGAGCGCCGCCGAGCGTCGCCTGGGGAGCCGCGGAGGTCGAGTACCGGTCCGCGGGGTGGTGAGGGGCGTGCCGGGCTCGGCGGCGCCGTGGGGGTCTTCCGCCGCCGCGCGAGGTAGGTGCTGCTGTCCTTAGTGTGCACGCGGGGCAGCCAGGCCGGAAGTCTGGAGCGTACACTCGCTAAGGACCCCGACTCTTTCCCTCCCTTTCCCAGAGGCGCGTCCTCACGATTAAAGCCGGTATTGCAAAGTTTTGCAAAGCCTGTGTGTTCGCTTGGGCCCGTGCGCAGCCTCTGCGCCTGCGGGTTGAGTGCTGCGGCGGGTGGAGAGCGGGAGTGGAGTGCGGAGGACGCTGCGGTGTATGCTGTTCTCCTGACTAGGTGGGACCCTGTAGTACTGCTTGCAGACTGGCCGCGTTCTCCCCCAAAGTAGTTCCTGTCACCCCTTCAGGTGGTTCCCGGGACTCCAGACTAAAAAGTCAGACCAGTGCTGGACGAGGTGGCGCACGCCTTTAATCCCAGCGCTCGGGGAGGCAGAGGCAGGAGGATCTCTGTGAGTTCGAGGCCAGCCTGGTCTACAGCGCGAGTTCCAGGAAAGCCAGAGCTGTTACACAGAGAAACCCTGTCCCGAAAAACCAAAACTTAATTAAAAAAAAAAATCAACCCAGCGATAAAAGAACAATCTCCGTTTATTAAACATGATTTTTCTGTTTCACCACACACTCCAGAAAAAAAGGAAATGGGGCTGGGAGTGGGAGAAAGGGGGCGGGGCTAGGAGTAGGGGCGGTAAAGAGAACGAGTAAACAAAGAAAAATGAGTACCAAGAAGGTCTTCGCACTCTTAAGGTAGGTGGGTGGGGAGAGAAGTGAGGGGTGGGGCTAGGGAGCCAGGAAGCTCTGTACAGAGGGGTCGCCTCCCAGCCCCCAGCCCGTTATGTACAGTACAAACCCCAGATAATTACAACAGCCAAAGAGGAGGGGGGAGGTACGAGGGTAGGGCCTGAAGTGGGGTAAGCAGAGGAAAGGGAACGGGATAAAATTTCACATATTTACAACTTTTATATAAGTATAAATTTGGCCCCGGCTGGGTGGATGTGTGTAGAGGGGTAAGATTGAAGGAGAGCTGTCCATACAAAAGGTCGAGTCTGGAGTCTGGGAGGAATTCTCAATACCAAACGCAAGAAGGGGTTAGAGACAAGGCTGGGTAGGGGACAGCAGTCAGAGAAGAGGGGGTACCCAGGAGGGATTTCTCCCTTCCATGGCCTACCCACCCCAAACCCCATCCATCCTACCTCCCCTATCCCGCCAGAGAGCTATGTACAGAGAAACACCGAAAAATCGTGGAGCTGGCGGGAGGGAGGGAGACTGGGTGAGGGGGGAGGGTGAGAGGGAAGCCCAGCCCTGTCCTACCTCCCCCAGGGGACAGAGTCATGGAAGGAGGCCCCCAAACACCCATCCTCCAACACAGGTCCCCCACCCTGGGGGAGAGAGACATGGCTTTTCCTAGAGTAAGTTCCCCCTCCCCATGGGAGTAGAGACAAAAGAGGGAAGGGTAGGGGCTGGCTGTATGTCAGGGTAAGGCAGGTCAGCTAGTCTGTCCTCCACAACCCAACACACATGGCCTCCTAAACCCTAACCCCTCATCCGAACCTCAATTCCACCCCACCCAACACACTGGGGGAGGGGGGGGCATAAGCCCCCTCACCCCGCTCTGGGACCAGCCAAGAGCAGATCAGGTGTGGGAAGAAGGGGAGGCAACTCCCATTCCCCCCTTGCCGCCCCCTCCCTGCCCCGGTGGCCCCCTCCACCCCATCTGGGTTCTGGGTGGGGAAAGTAAATGTAAGAGTGGAAAGAAGAGGAGGAGTTTGTGCGTGCTGAGCCCCCCCAGACGCTCCTGAGAAATCAAGGGGTAATAGGGCCCCCTCACCCGGGGTCCCCTCCCCATAACAAGGGGGACAGGGGAGGCCAAAATGGGGTGGTGGAGGGGAGTTAGATTGTCAGCTCTGGTTACTGCTAAAAAATCACCCTGAAGTTGAAAGTTTGGAGGTGCCTCACCCCCAGTGTGGGGGTGAGGGTCTGTCCCCCAGTGCTCAGGGGAACTATGAGGCAGAGGGTGGGGATAGCACCCCGGAGTGAAGGGGTCTGTGGGTAGGTGGTGTCCTGGGGTGAGGGTCCCTGGGGGTGAAGAGGGCAGCTCAGGGTCCCACTCTCCCTCCTAGAAATGGTGCAGTGGAGGTGGCGGATGGGCGCCTCGAGGAGGCACTAAGGGAGGCAATCCTGCTGTCCCTCGGTGATGTCCAGTCCTGGTGGGTGGTGATGTTCCGGGGTGGGGTGCACAAGGACGGAGGTCTGTGATGCTGGGTGGGCTAGTGGTCTGCGGTGTTCCGGAACTCGCCGTTCTCTGTGATCTGCAGCCGGGGTGGGGGAGGTGGGGCTGGGGGGGCCAGGCCGTTCCAAGGTGGGGCCAGCGTCACACGCGGGTTTGTTGGACCCAAGGGGGGAAGCTGCCTCTCCTGCAAGACACCAAAGAGGAGAGCGCGGACTTATTGAGACGCTTCGCGGGGCAGGGATGCCAGCCCCAAGCAGTGCTCTCACCCACAGCCCACTCCACAGCCATGTCCACCCTCTCTGTTTTGTTTCTCACCTCCAGGGCTTCTGGGGGAGCAGGGGGAGAACTCACACCAGAAAACCAGCTCAAAAGCAGCTAGCTCTCACCTTCCCTCTGACATGACTCCCACTTCCATCCCCCAGCCCCGTCCATGGAACCGTGAAACCCCCTCCCAGCACCCTCCACCCAGGCAGGAACTTCACACTGAGGAACCAGAGGAGGCAATACAGTAAAACCTCATTAATCCAAACCCCCACAGATCTGGAAGTTTGTTCATAATTTGAACAAAACCAGGCCTTGAGTTTTCCTTTCTCTGGGAAGAAAGGGTGTGCTAAGCAATGGGTGGGAATGTGTCTGTGGGCGGGGACTTAACCTACACCAGCAAACAGACTTGATTTCACTATGCTCCCTGAAGGCCTGTGTAGCAGCCTCGTTTAGAGTTTTACTTACTGTGCTTTGAAGACAGGTATTCACTAAATAGACACTGTCACTCAGTTTATCAGTTACTCAAGAGTGGACCTCTCAAATTTAGCATCCCAAATTAGAGAGGTTTAACTGTACTGGAAACAGGAAGGGGATCAGGGAAGTGATGTGGAGGGACATCTTGTAGGAAGGCTCCTCTCACACTTGGTAGGAATGACTGAAAGGTTTAGAGCAGAGGTCCTCAACCTTCCTGACCTGAGACCCTTTAACACAGTTCCTCATGTGACACCCCCAACCATGAAATTATTTTGTTGCTACTTCCTAATTTTGCCACTGTTATGAATCATAAATATCTGGTTTTCGACCCCTGTGAAATGGGTCACGTCCCATATGTTGAGAACCACTGGTTTAGAGCCCTTGTGCCCCAGTTCCATTCCTTCCCACCCTCCTTCCTTTCCAGTCCCCTCCCCGGCCTCCTGCTGGAGTGGCAGACCCTGTGTCACTCCTATACCTATTTTCAGGACCTTTGACGGCTCTGGGACCCATTTCCTGGTTCCTGCTCCCCCAACCTTCTGTGCCTCTGCTAGGAGTGAAGACCACCCGAGTCCCCACACTTCTCAACACTTACTTGGCTTTTAAAAATCTAGCTCAAAACTAATTTTTATTTTTTACTTGCTGGGCTGCAGGGGAGCAAAGCCTACAGATGGTTTGGAACAAATATACAAATACTGTCTGAGCCACAAAACGTCAGGTAGAGCAGCATGTAGCTCTCTGTATCTGACCCTATCTCCAAAGGACACAAGAAAGGAAGGCTTCCATATCCGAACCAAAGACTCACCTGTTACAAGGCCACCCAAAATATAACCTTAGTCAGTGCTGCCCTCTTGACTATCTGGGTATCTCACAGCCAGTCAGTGGGAGAGGAGATTATACGTAATAGGAGCCCTAAGTACATGTAGGAAGAGAACAGGGGAAGGAACCCTCAGATTCCCTCCACTCTGCCTGTCTGCTCATGACGACACATGGGCATGCCCCCTACGCCCTCATGGTCCCAAATTTAGAAGCTGGATAAATTAGGGTGCTATTATTCATTTTACAAAGGAGTTCACTGCTGGAGTCCTTTAAATGGTGAGGTTCCCTGGTGTCTTTCAGCATTTGTTTACAGATCACTAACTACTTTGACAGAGCCTGGGCAGGCAGAGAGTTAAAATGACAGTGTGAGGAGCCACTGCCCACCACAAATCAGTCCCACAGAAACGTGTCTCAGGACTGAGGTGTGCCTGACAGTTTGCCAGCTGCTGGCTTTCAGGTAGGATTGTGTGTCCTAAAGACTACTGGGTGGCAGGAGAGGGAAATGAGTGGCATTAGCAACTCAGGAACTTGAGCTCTGACAAGAGAGGTTGTTTAACATGCTGTTCCTAGTGTCCCTGCCTGAACCTAAATATGGCTACTAGGCCCTTGACTACATTCTAGGAAGCTGTTTCTCCTCTTCTAAGTTACAGGCCACATGAAAAAGTCCAGCCTGACATCTGTCCAAGACTCTTTGTCTTGCTTGTCATATGCCATCCACTCTGTTCACCTGTCAGGACATCTTAACAGCATCTTTTCCAGGGTCCTTAGTGTCGCCCTGAATTAACTACCCACTCCCAACTTCCACCCAGTAGTAACTACGGGAAGCCTCAGGTCCCTTCCGCCTCACAAGGGAGAAAGCAGAGGCAGAGAGCAGGAGGGCAGGAGTTAGGAAAGGAAGAGGAGACCCCAACCTACCTGCTGGAGTCAGCACAGCCCCTAGCCTGGCCCCAGCCCAATACCCCTCCACCCCGTTACACCCACCCAACTTCCCAACTTCCAAGGACACTCTGGTGAAATGGGGGGTGACAGACAGACACTGGATAGGTAGAGGAAAGGGAGGGTGTTGTCAGGAGGTGCCTGTGGGGCTGGCCAGTTTGGAGAGAAGCGGGGAACCTGTAAATGTGCTTGGTCGTTGTAAGAGTCCAATTTGGTAGTGATGAGGCGTCAAGGGTGTGTGGGTGTTGGCAGGTACGCTCTGGCTGTACATTGGGAAGGGGTCTGTCTGTGCAGGAGGTGTCGGGGAGTGGGGTCTGTGGAGGGTCTCTGGGTGTGGTGGGCAGCAGTGAGAGGGGAGAGGCTGCAGAGAGGTGGAAGGGGTGGGCTTCACCACCAACCTGCAGTGGTCCGGAGTCACCTCCCCCAGTGTCCTCCGCCCGTGGTCAAAGCGGAACCAGGAGAATTACCTGATGAGGAGCTGCAGGGGGAGAGAGTGGGGTCATGGGGTCAGGAGGCTTGGTGGCAGGGGGCAGGGAGTCCTGGTGGTCAGAGCAGAGGGAGGAGGAGTATGGATAGGAAAGAGCAGGGGCAAGGGTGCAGAGGGCCTGGAAGCTGGCTGGAGAGCAGAGAGGGTGGTGACAGGGAGCTAGACATAGGTTCAGGGAACACCAGAGGCCAAAGGCAAGCCGAATTTGAATTATGGGAAGGGGCCTCTGGGACAGACCTTAGGATCTGAAGAGTCAGAGAAAAGAGGCTACATGGGACCTACCAAAGAGTCAGAATGGGGAGTCAAGAGAACCCTGAGTCTGTAGGGTACACAGAGCTGGAGAAGTACAGCTCCGATTATCCATGCTCCACTCTATCCAGTGGGACTTCAGCCTTCCTGACTCAAGAAGAGCTGAAGAAGCAGACAGGAGTGGCCTCGTAAGAGGCACGAGTTCAAGGGCATTGGGGACAGGGGCGCTGAGAGGCTGAGGCTCTGGTGGAAGGTCCTGATGCAGGTAAGAGTGGGAAGACAGGACAGGAGGCATAGGTGTGACAGAGGCACAGACAATGGGATGGAGATGGATCACTGGGGGCTGCAGGAAGGAAGCAGCCAGTAGACAGACAGGACCACGGCAGACAGATGGTGGTGGGCCGGGGTGGCTGGTGCCGTGAGTGCACAGAGACAGTGGGATGGATGGGGATGGGACACGGAGAAGATAAATGACATTGTAATTTCCACCTGAGCGTCGAGCAGCCTCTTCTTGGGTTCAGGCAGCGGCTCAGCCATGGCGGGGTGGTCCCGACGCAGCTCCTCCTCCACCAGCATCAGCCTGAAGGGACGGGCTTCAGTGGGGTTAGTGGCGGGCACGGGCTCAGAGCCCACCTGGAGTACTCTTGACCCTGGGGAACCCCTGCAACTCTGGAAAAGCCTTGGACGATTTCTCCTCCTTGCAGAATTCCTCTTGACCCAAAAGATGCTCTGTTACCCGGGAATCTTGCTTTCCACTTCCTCCCAGGGGTCCTCATGCCTGCCTTCTGAGGGATTTTTTAAAGACTTGTTTACACTTACTTATTTATTCACTTATTGGTTTTTCAGGACAGTCTCACTGTGTAGCTTTGGCTGGCCTGAAACTCACAGTGTATACAAGGCTGACCTTAAACTCAGAGATCTGCCTGCTTCTGCCTCACCAGTGATAGAATTAAAAGCATGCACCATCACACCCAGCTTATTCCTACTGTTGTTGTTATTATTATTATTTTGGTTTTACAAGACAGGGTTTCTCTGTGTAGCCCTGGCTATCCTGGAACTCACTATGTAGACCAGACTGGTCTCAAACCTCACAGAGATCCACCTGCTTCTATGCTGGGATTAAAGGTGTGCGCCACCACTGCCCAATCTATTTCTATTATTTTTAACTATGTGTATCTGTGTGTGTGTGTGTGTGTGTGTGTGTGTGTGTGTGTCTGTGTCTGTGTCTGTGTCTGAATGCAGGTGCTCCTGGAGCTGGAGTTATAGACACCTGGTGTGGGTGCTGGGAATTGAACTCCGATCCTCTGCAGGAGCAGTATTTCCTCTTAACCACCTGAGTCATCTCTCCAACCCAGAAAAGTAGATTTGATTTCTCCCTATGTTTTTTTCCAGCAAACCCAGAATGCAGAACTATGTAGCCAAGGTTATCCTCCTGCTAAATGCTGGGATTACAGACATGGGTACTCCTGGATCCTGACGTTAGATTTGTGTCATTTTTTTTTTGTTTTTTGTTTTGTTTTGAGACAAGGTCTCTCTACGTAGCCCTGGCTGTCCTTGAAGTCTCTATGTAGATCAGACTGACCTCACACTCAGAAATCCACTGGAGAGCTTGGATGAAAAGTGTGCACAACTATGCCCAGCTAGATTTCTGTGCCTCTAAGCCTCCTGGCAGCCAGCTACCTCAGCCATCCCTCCTGGAGGCCTTGTGTTTGCAGATGATTTAACTTCTGTGCCCCGGGCCATCATAACTAACCACTGTTCTCAGGTGTCCTAGCTCATAAGATCTCAGTCCTAGCAGTGGATTCAAATGTCTCGAATGGAGAAACCATTTTCTTCTAATGAAGTCTCACTCAAAAACAGCATGTACAGCAGATCAGAGCAGGACTGGCTTTGGCTAGAGTGGCCCGTTGAGGCAGTTCCTTCGGAGCAGAAACAAGCTAAAAGCCCCTTTCTCGCCGGGCGGCGGTGGCGCACGCCTTTAATCCCAGCACTCAGGAGGCAGAGCCAGGCGAAGCTCTGTGAGTTCGAGTCCAGCCTGGTCTACACAGTGAGATCCAGGACAGACTCCAAAAGCTACACAGAGAAACCCTGTCTTGAAAAAAAACCAAAAGCCCCTTTCTCATGGAACCCCTTCCCATGGCTGGAGAAGGATCTCTGCCCAAGAACACGCGAATGGTTAAGGGCTCCTGTGGCTAGGGACTACTGCTTAGCTTTGTGGTGACCCTCAGAGGTGGGGTTAAGAAAAACTGATAGGGAGTCTAGGCCCAAGCTAAGTCCAGTGATGTAAAACAGTAATGGGTATATCTCCCAGGACTTCAGAAGTTAGTGTGTGAGCAATGCCAGGGCTTGGTAAGGGAGCAGGCTTTTCCCATCTCCCTCCAGCCTCAACCCCTTCCCACCCCTCCCCGGGCCGCCCCTCACCTGCCAATGATGCTCTTGATCTGGGAGTCCTTTTCCACCTGCTGCTGCCTCAGGCGCTTCTCACTCTGCTCCAGGCGGGCTTGATACTGCATCAGGATCTTGCTGGTCTGTTCTTCCTGAGACAGCAGCCTCCGCTCATACTCTTCCAGCTTCCGGTTGGACATGTGTAGCCTCTCCTTCAGTGAGTGAATCTCCTCCTCGTACTCCTTCACCTGCCCGCCGGGCACATGACCCCGCACTGTGAGGAGCGTCCTGCCCTGGCTTTACCAGCCCGTTCCCATCCCCGTCTGTTTAGCCATGCCACGACACAAGGAGCACCCGATCCTTCTCTGCCTGTTGGACACACTTGATCTGTTTTTAAGAAAGCCTGATGTGATACTGAGGCTTCCTCAAGATGGAGCAAGGTCAAAGTCCACATCTTAGAAGTGTGCCATGCCCTCACACAAGCATGGGGAATATGGAGCCCCATAGGGCACCCTGGCAAGACTACTGGACACGACATGAGAAGCATTATCTAGAAATGAAAGACAAAGGGCCTGTAGTTCCAAACCAAGATTGAGCACATGGGGGCGGGGAGACTCTGGGTAAGGTGGGGGCAGGTGCTGTCTCATAAATGACTCCCTCCTCAGGCCTGTCCTGCGGACAGGAGATCAAGGGGACCCCAGGCTGAGAATATGACTATTAATAGGAGTCTGGGATTCCAGGTTCAGAAGAGCTCAGACCAGTTACTTCATTTACCTGTTACTTAATATAACTGTCACATGTAATTCTTTTAGGTTTTATTTTTTTCAGTGCTAGGGATCAAACCCAAAGCCTCACTACTAAGCTCTACCCCCAGCTTACACATAGCTATTTAAAAGTTAAATAACTCTAAGATTTTAGTTCCCGAATTGCAACAATATATACGCATCATTTCGGTAGCCACTAGCTACAGGACGTGTATGTTCCCAGTTTATTTTCACTCCTGAAAGCTCTGGTGTCTAGTGCTAAACTGGAGCCTTCCTCACAAGGATTCCTCACCTGAAGCATGGACAAGAGAGGCAATCTGAGAAGCTTTTACCATGCTGTGAAGGCCCATCCCTAAGCGTTCCATTCTAGACACACAGGAGAGAGGAATTCGTGGCCTATGATGATTGCCGTGGGCATGAGTGCTTAACCCTCTAGTAGAACGGATATCCAGGGCCTCATACATTCTAGGGAAACATTCTACCACAAACTATATTCCATGACTTTATTTTTACTTTTTATTTTGAAACAGGGTATCATTAAGTTGCCCAAGCTGGCCTTGAACTTGACATCTCCTGTCTTAGTCTGAGTAACAGTTCACGGGCCTGTGCTACCAGGCCTAGCTTGGGTAGTGTTCTTCGCACACGCCCTAATCCTGCAGCCATTCTCCTTCTTATAGCCTGAATAGAACAGTTCTCTCCGATCTACAGTGTATATAACCCAGAGAGTTGGGTCAGGTTTCAATAGACTGATAACATAAGGCCCTAATAGACTAGTAAAAGAGGTCTGCCTATCTTTCATTTTTACCCAACTATCTGAGCACAGATGTTTTTTCCTTGGAAGGACTAAAGGCCTTCCCTGGCATTAACAGGAGGAACAAGACTCAGAAGGCAAGGCCAGCGTACCCTGTCCAGCCGACTCTCATCCATCGATTTTGAGTATTCCTTGAGTTTGTACTCTTCCCGCTCAATGTGCGCACTCTCAATGTCAGCTGACAGGTGAGGCATATTGGAGACCCAGGCTACAGTTCGTTCCGAGGCCGGCATCGTGGGGTTCAGCGTGGATGGCGTCTGGGAATGCTAAGACAAGCAAGGTGGGGCAGACAGCGGAAAGGTGGGAAAGGGGGTGTGTTCAGAGGAGGAAACACAGAAATGACACCCCAGACCTGTTCCCCTGCAGTAGCCTTCTCTCTGAACACTCCCTTGGGAGTGAGTCCTCACCTATTCATCTACACATCCTTGCTACCTGAACAGTCTATGGGACATTGCCGAGGGCCCTCTTCTTAACGTTTCTAAGTTTTTTGTTTAGAGACAGAATATCACTACCTAGCCCTGGCTGGCCTTAAACTTGTAATCCTCTTGCCTCCTGAATGCTGAGAATACAGGCCAAACGCTACGTATTTGTTTAGTGAACAGAGGAGGTGAGAAGATTGTGGCACCAGACTACACTGTTCCACCCACTTCCTGCCCCCACTTCCTTCCCTTGCTGCTCTTCACCCACCTACCTCCTCCTACCCTCACCTACCTGCTTGGTGATGGAGGGCTTGAGCCCCCCACCCCCTCCGCCACCGCTGCCCCCGCTGCCCCCAATGCTGCCCTCTTTGCTGAGGCTCTGTTGCCGTGGACGGGCAGGACCATAACTTGGCTCCGGGGACTGCAGAAGGTTCCCGCTGGATGGCCGGGGTTTCTGGGCAGCACTCACTGTCAACTGTTGAGACTTGCCCCTCTGCAAGGGAGGCGGCTGGCCCCCACCACCCCCACCACTGCCCCCACCACTTCCACCTCCGGGCCCAGAGGGAGCTGGCCTCTGGGGACCGATGGTGATCTGGGGAGGGGACAGCATATGCTGAAGGTTGTCCTGAAGTGAGAGCTGCCGACGGGTGAAATCAGTACCAGAGGGTCCAAACTCATCACTGTAGCTGTGGCTGTGAAGGATGGAGGCGGCAGGGGGCTTAGGGACCCCTGAGGAGAGGTCCTCGCTCTTGCTATAGCCATGGAATGGGGCAAAGGTGTCCCCTGGGGGCTCTCCACCTCGATGGTGGTGATGGTGGTGGTGGTGGTGATGTGAGGAAGGTGGACCATGACCACTGCCCCCTCCGTGGCCCCCTGGGGGCCCTGGCCCATCAGCAGCCATGTGGAAGAGAGGGTTCTGGAAGGAAAGGGGAATGCGCAGTTGCTGGGCAGGGACACCATCCGTGGTGACACCCATCTGGCTGAGGCGCATGCCAGCTGCTGTGATGGAAGAGCCACTCCCTTGGGAGAGGCGCCCGGCAGGTGCAGGCCGCAGCCCTAAGGCTGCTGTCAGTGAGGCCTGGCTTGAGTGCAACAGGTCCCCGACAGCTGCCAGGTTGGAAACACTGCTACTGTTAAGGCGGCCCCCAGGCCCATCGCCCTGAAGGTCCAGCATGGACACGCTCTTGTTAACACTCAGCATCTTCTGCTCTGGCTCTGTGATGTCCGAGCTGCTTGTGCAGTACGCTGGGGATGACCGGGCCAGTGGCGGCCGGCTCACATAGAACAGGTCTTTACCCCCACCGGGTGGCGGTGGGGGTGGCTTTTCCTTGGTTGGGGAGGGGAGGCGAGCCATGTCCATAGAGCTGTTGGAAGGGAAGGAGGACACACAGGCAGAACTAAGACCAGGACTACTGGCACCTGAGCCTGTGGTCTGGTGAGAAGTGGGACCCACAGGGAAGGGCTGAGCGCTGGTGGTGGCAGCCCTGAAGAGGCAGGCACGGAGGATGGCAGGGAAAGCTGGAGGAGGGGAGGTAGGGGAGGAGGGAGGACAAGGCCTAGGAGGGGGTAAGGCCTGGAAAAGGAGGTGGGGGCAGCAAGAGAGGAGTAAGGGCCGCTCTGGGCAGGTATGGAGGAGATGAGGTGCCCTGAGGAGCAGAGGAGCAGAGGCGGGCGGAGGTCAGTGCAGCAGGACGGGAGGGTGGGGAGGACAGAGCCCTCACCTGTTGAGGCCTCGAGCCATGAAGGACTGAAGGTCGATGGAGCTGGAGAGAGATGCAGAGGGGCAAGCACAGACAGGAGAAGGAGAGAGGTGTGGAGAGATGATGGGAGGAATGGCAGGACAGGTGTGGTGTCGTAGATGGAGACATGGGTGAGGAATAGCAGAGTAATCACAGATGAAGGATACTCGCTGAGGCCCAGCCCCACCCCCATCAAACTGGATGCCAGGCTCCAGGGCCCACTCAGCTCCAGCTGCTATTTCTCTGAATGCTGGGTCACGGGGAGCTCCTGGGGTAAGGTGGTAGGCTGGGGGCAGGGGTTGTTAGGTCACTTAGAGACACCTGAGTGTTTTGATACCACATGGCTGAACCGCAGCCTGCAGACAAGCATGGGCTGGCAGAGGGACAAAGTAAGTCAGCTACATCAGAGTTCCTTTGGCTTCAACTAAGCTGGGAGCAGAGGAGCCTCAGGACCTCTGGACTCTGCATTTCTCCCTCTCTGGCTCTAAAGAGCTCTCAGCCTCCCACTGCCTGTACCCTTACCATTGTCCCTAAGAACTTGCAGTTTTTCCCTTTTGAGGCTTAGAGAGATGCATCTAGGGCCCAGCAAGAAGCATCCAGGAACGACCAGGCTCCCAGAGCACGGCAGTAGGGGAGCAGGATGCTCACCTATTGAGGTCCCGCATCATGTAGCCCTGCATCTCGGCTGATGGCCCTCGCAGCACCACGGGCTGAGGCCGAGTCCGCTCACTCTGGCGGCTCGGCTGCCTTTGGATGTTAGGGTTCCTCAGGGCTGTGCTGATGTCATTGAGGAGCCGGGGCAGCGGGCCCAGCTTCAGGAGGGCTTCCTGCAAGGACAAGGCTGTCACCCGATGGGCAAATGCCCAGTTCCAAAAGGGCCTCAGTGGGCATAGACAGAGGCTTTGTGAAGTGTACTGGAGCTGGTGTGGACATTTCCGGGAACAGCAAGGTGGGAAGAGTTCTGTGCAGAGAGGTTAAGTACCTGGAGGCAGGCCAGAGGCACATCTACTGACCTTGCTGAGCTGGGGCAGCACCTCCCAGAGCAGGGCATGGAGTGTGGAGAGCTCGCGGCCCAGGTCTATGTAGCCCTCAAAGCTGCTGCTGTTGGTCAGTGTGTCCAGGTTGGATATCTCATACAAGAACTGCTGCATGGAGCCCCACTCCAGCTCCAGAAATTCGTTCATGAAGCCTAGGAAGTCTTCCTTTGAGGTAAACCTGCTCAGGGGTACAGATGCTCTGGTGACTCAGGAGACCCCTCCAGAAGCCCACAGTTCATTCCCACCCTTCCTGAAGTCTCCCTCACTTGGAAAAGTTGGCCAGGTTCTGGATGACCTTGGCGATGAGGGTGAGGGTTCGTGAGGTCTGCTCATCTGGGTACTCCTGCATAAGCCCAAACAGACTGGGCGACATGATGGCTGGGCAGAGGAAGCGCAGGAAGAGCGAGGCGCTGATCAGCCTGTCAGCAATGTCCTCCCGGCCCCGCTCTGCACAACGCAACCGCCAAGATGCAAACACCTCCTTCAGCTCCCTCGGGAACACGCTGGGGGGAAGGGGTGGGGAGACAGAGAAAGAGAGAGAGAAAGAGAGACCGGGACTGAGCCCCAGAGACCCTCAGCTTCCAGGGAACATGCTGAGGGGTGGTAGGAGGTGAGGGTGTGGAGACAGGTGAGAGAGACTGGGAGGGAAGGACCGCAGGAGGAAGACAGGAGGCTGCTGAAGAAGAGGGCCACGGTAGAGGGAACAGATCTGGAGAGAGAAATGGAGAGGGAGAAAGGGTGAGGAGAGAGAGACACACGGGAGAGAGACGGAGGGGCGTGTGAGAAAGACGAGGAGAGGGGAAGAAAAACAGACACCAGGGGAGAGACAGAGATGGGAGAGAGATGGGGGGTCACTTGAGGTACAGGGAGCTCGGACCCCCCAACTCTTCTGGATTCCAGGGAAATGGGGATGGACGTGCCCCAGGCATGATCCCCAGGCCCTGGAATGGCTCGGCTCACTCATCCCCGCCTCCCAGTGCCACTTCAATGTCCCACTGACACCTTAAACTTGACTAGTGGAAAATAGAGCTCACTATCGCCCCCACACTGCCAGCTGGCTCCTCCTTTTGACTTCTCTGGTTCTGTCAATGAGACTATGGGTCTCCCAAGTACTAGTCCCATGACCTCGAGTCATCCCGACTCCCTACACAACCCCTCAGACAAACCTTACTGACCCTTCCTGTAGAGGACCCTAGGCAAGTCCTTTTCTGGGCTTTCTGACTCCACCCTGATTCAAGATCTGGTTTTCACTCCCGACCCATTAACCATAACCACCAATGGTCTGGACGTCTTCCTTTCTCTTCCCACACAGCTCACTTGATTCACAGGCCAGTCTCAATCATGCTACTTCCTGATACCAACGTTCTGATGACTACAGACTCCTGAATCCAAGAATTCCAGATTCTCACTCTCCTCTCCCTGAGCATACCTCTTTCCTACGGCCTCCACTATAGCCACGTGCTCCTCTAAGCCTGTTCCAGTTACTAGCCATCTCCTGAAAGGCTCCCAGACCTTCTCATATCATGTGTGTTATCTCACAGCCCTGGAAAATGTCATCTGCCTACTGTGTGCAAATGTCAGCCCCTGACTGCAGTCTTCAAAGCCCAGCCCTGGGCACCTGTTATTAATTTCACCACAGCTCTGTCTTCTCTGAAAAGAACCCTCCCTGAACACACATCACAATGGTTCTGTGGCTTTCTGTCCATCCCACGTCCCTTCTCATTCTGGCTGGAGGCCTGCCCTCTGAGGTCAGGGACCAGGCCTCATCACCTCTTTCTGCTCTACACCCCAGAATGCTTTGCCCGTACTGACGCTCAGTCCTCTGAGGATGGACAGATGGATGAACAGATGAACACACAACTGCCCAACCCTGGCCCCCCAGCCCAGCGTTCCCAGTCTCACCAATGGGAGTTGACCACCTTGCACAGGGCCAACTCACAGCACATCCGCAGGTTGGCCTGGTGCTCTGCCAGGCTGGACGCCGTGCACTTGATGGGATCTACTTCACAGTTCTCCTCAGACTCGTACAGAGCACGGATGAACTCCCCTGGGAGAGGGGGCACAACAGGGAGCGGTCACACTTTCCAAGGGCAGGGACAGGGGGCTCCCTGGGTTGGAGGAATGGCAGAATCAGATGGTTGGAGGCTGGGGTCCTGGGCTCTGAGGAAGGGTGGATGTGGGGTCTGGGGTGGCCAGGTTTGGGGGTGATGGGGTAGGCATGAGGAAGTTTAGGAACAAGGCCTGAAGGTGGGCCATACCAATGGCATCCTTGAGGTATTTCTGACCAATCAGTCTCATATACTCTTCTATGGCTTTAGTGGCGAGCGTGTTCTCGCGGAATATGAGGTGTTCCCGTTCCATGAACCGGTCTACCTCTGACATGGCCATGTCTGAAAGGAAATCCTGGGGCCCAACAAAGTCCCAGGATCAGCCTCTGCAGAGCCCAACCTCATGGGTCTACTCTCTTTTCACTGCCCCCCAAACCAATGCCCATTCTCAACTCATCCTTCCCTGGGGCACAGGAAAACCCATGTCAGCCTCTGCAGAATCCAACCTCATGAATCTCCCCTCTCTTCACTGCCCCCAAACCAGTGCCCATTCTCAAGTCCTCTTTCCCTGGGGGCACAGTGCTCACCTTGGCCTTGCCTGTGCTCTGCAGTATGTGAACCAGTGCACTGGCAACCTCCTCCTTGCCCTTGACATTCAGGGCAGGCTCCAGCACTGCACACAGCATCCGATAATGGTTGGTTACATACTCTGCAAACTCTTTATACAGCTCCATGGGCAGGATGCTCATTGTCTGGTAACGGGCTTTCAGCCTCACGGCAGGGCAACCTCCTTTCCCCTTGCCCCCCGAGCCACCCCCTGACCCCCCTCCTCCTCCTGAGCCCATACCCCCAGAGCCCCCACTGCCTGTTGGCAAGGTCACGGGGTACCACTGCTCTGTAAAGTGGCGCCCAGCCAGGGTGGCCACCGGTACAGTCACCAGGCCAACATAGCCTGCCTTGTCCTTCTTCCGCTTTTTGTCTGAGTCACGGTATAGATGCAGCCGCAGGGCCCGGACAGCCGGCAGGTTGTTGAACTCAAAGTGCTCGCCCCAGAAGACGGTGTCTCCTGAAGCTGAGCGGGGCTTGGAGGTGGTACGTGCATACAGCATGTCATCCAGGCACAGCTCGCAGTAATACCGCTTCTTGGGGGGCAGCTCTCGAGCCTCTATGATCCATAGTTTCAGCACATTATCTACCCGGCGGCTGTTGTCCTGGCATGAGGAAGTGGTGAGGGCAAACAGAATGGAAAAGTCAGACACACCAGGAGAGAGACAGCGAGCAGGTGGGCTTGAAAGGGAAGCTGTGAGGCAAGCATGCTGGGCTTGGAGTCTGTTCTGCCCTGTTCTGGTTTGGAAATAGGGTCCTGGCAGATGTAATACATAAGATGAGGGCATACTTGATTAATGTGATCTCTTAATCCAGGGACTGGTGACTTTATCACATGGAAGGGCCATTTAGAGACAGACAGAAGGAAGCTGGCCATGTAAAGAGGGAAGAACTGAATTAACGGCTACAGGACAGGGCCCTGCTTATAGCTGGACTTTGGACCTCTAGCCTCCTGAACTATGAGAGAATAGTTTTAGCTGGCCCAGTTCATGGTGACTCTTCAGAGCAGCCTTGGAAGCTAACATAGAAGGGTAGCTCACACACAACAGAATTAATGTTGGGAAATGCTTGAGTAACAAGTCAAAAATGTGCCAGGCGGTGGTGGCGCACGCCTTTAATCCCAGCACTCAAGAGGCAGAGGCAGGCGGATCTCTGTGAGTTCAAGGCCAGCCTGGGCTACAGAGTGAGTTCCAGGAAAGGCACCAAAGCTACACAGAGAAACCCTGTCTCGAAGAAAAAAAAATGCTTAGGGGGCCAATGAGATGGTAAAGGTTATTGCTGCTAAGCCTGATCACATGAGTTTGAGTCCCAGGACTCACAACATAATGAAAGGAGAGAACCAGTTTCAGAAAGTTGTACTCTGGCTTCCACATGTGCACTGTGGCACCATACACACACACACATACACACACACACACATATACACACACACACACACACACAGACCCTGTATAAATAAATAAATATGTAAGTTTTAATTTTGTTTATTTTTGGTTTTTTGAAACAGGATCTCTCTCCATAGCGCTTACTATGTAGACCAGACTGGCCTCGAACTCACAGAGATCCACCTGCTTCTGTGCTGGGATTAAAGGCATGTGCCACCACACCCAGCAACATTTTTTTAAAAGCAAAGAAGTCCTCAAAGGAATGAGAAATCCTGCAGAAACATCAGATGTTGTAAAACAAAATACTACTGGCATATGTAGGACCAGTGAGATGTGACAGTTGGCCTGAGAAGGGCCCAAGCGCCTGGTGAGGGTTATGTGACACCGCAGTGCATTGGAAGCAGTGTGGCTCAGACTGTGTCTAGAGTTTTAAGTGGGATTCCTTAATAAAGGCCCTGGGAAACAAGAAGAGGGCCAGGACTGTGAGCTTGCTACCAACTGGAGTCAGGGATCAGCGGACAGGACGGCAGCGTTTGCTCGGGGACAGGAGTCTTGGTTGGAGCACTGGTGCACAGCCCCTCGGTCAAGGGGCCTGGGGGTCAGTCACTCCCACCACAACTGCCCAGACTTTATAGAGAACCAAAGTTCACAAAACACTATCAGGGAGACTGGACTAGAGGACTGAAGAGCCCTGTGGCTTTCATGGTAGGGAAGCAGAACATGATGTGAGGTAGCAGTATGGGAAGAAAGGGAAATAATGAGAATCACCCTTGGCTGTCTAGTCCAGATCTCCTATACCTGTCCCTCCTCCCCAGCCCTGTCCTCCAGCCTCCTGCCCCCTCCTCCCCAGCTCTGTCCTCCAGCCTCCTGCCCCCTCCTCCCCACCAGTACCTTGTTGGGCTTCACAGCCCTCTGCAGATTCTCAATCCATTTGTCCCTTTCGGCCGCAGATCGACAGGCAAAACACTTTGTTCCAGACGATGTTGTCACCTGGAGAGGAACATGGATTTGAGATGGGGTTCCTAGAGGCTGGAGACCCGCCACCATGTCTTCCTTCCTGGCCCAGGTCTGCCTCCTTGACATCCCACATGTGGCATCTCTTCAGGCCCCTTTGCCCTAGCCTCCACCATCCCTGCCCTCCACCCTTCTCGGGCCACAAGAGCTGCTACCTCAAAGCAGAACTCCTGGCCCAGGATGGAGCTGTGCACCGGCTTGATGATGGAGTCTTCATCTAAGTTGAGCTCCAAGGCCTCAGCAGCACTACTAGGACTCAGCAAGGATTCATGGGAGTGGGACTCCTTAAAGCTTTGCATCAGCCGGGCCCTGGTAGGCGGGAGGTTCAGAGAAAGATCAGGGAAGCCGTCTCTCCTCACACTCAGGACACTGCCTCAGCAGAGGTTCTGGAAGGCAGCTTTGGAAAAAAGGCCTCAGTCCTTCACACACAGACTCACAGAAGGAAGCCCAGACTTCCCTGGGGAAAGACATGGGAGGGACAAGGGAAACCAAAGGCCTTCAAGAGACTTCTCTACCTCAACTCATACTCAAGGAGCTGAGATACCTAGAAATAGCTCAGAATTGCTGGACATAATGGCACAGACCTTTAATCACAGCACTCAGGAGACAGAGGCAGGCAGATCCCTACTAATTTTGAGGACTATCTAGCAAGTCCAGGCTATCCAAGGCTACATAGTGAGATCTTGTTTTAAAAAAAGAAACAAAGCCAGGCATGGTGGCGCACACCCTCAATCCCAGCCCTCAGGAGGCAGAGGCAGGCAGATCTCTCTGAGTTCAAGGACAGCCAGGGCTACACAGAGAAACTGAATTGAAAAATTAAAAAATAAAAAATAAAAAAAAAGAAACAAACTGTGACAGAACAAAATAAAACAAAGAAACAGACAAAACAACTGTCCTGGACATGTCTAGGTGACTCCAGAAACCAGAATCTCAATATATAAAAAAAGGAAGCAAAGAATTGAGGCCCAGAGAAAATAGAGTATTGTTTGGTTTGGACCTGGCACACAGCTAGTGTCTAATAACCATCTCATGATTCAAACTATGAATGAAGTAAGAGAACAGTTTTGAGCACAACCAGGGGAAAGAGAGAAAAGCATAAGAGGACGCTGTGGGCAGAACGGAGCAGAATAAAGGTCGGAGACTGGAGAGCAGATCTGGGAGGAAGAGGAGGCAGAACAGCCAGCAGTGGAGCAAAGGCAGGTGCAGTGAGGCTGAGGAGGGCAACGAGAGCCGGCAGAGGACCCAGCACCGCAGGGGAGCACAAGATGAATGGAACTTAGGGACCAGCCCTAGGGGACGCAGGACAGAAAGGTGTGGGGATGGGTAGGGGGACGAAGAGTAGAGCATGGGGAAACAGGAGGGAGAGCTCGGGTGTGGGAGCCTCCATGAAGTTATTTATAGCAGCCCCGTCATCACAGGCTCTGGCTGCCGTCAGCACCACGCTCCCCCGGCCCCCCCCGCCCCCGCGGCCAGGAATACCATGCCCTCACCCCCTGCCAGCCCCAAATCCAGCACTGGTTACTTGGAAGGGGGCAGGGAAAGGTGTGACTCACCTGATCCCAACCTTCCTACCCTCCTAATCCCTGGGACAGCCAGACACAAGGGAAAAGAAGGACAGACTCTCTCCAGGGAGTGACTGGACTAAGGGGAAGCCCAGAGGAGGACAAAGGCAAGCAGCCAGGTTTCCTTCCCCATCCCTCAGTCCCTGGATTAGCCCCAGCCTTGGAGCCCCCCCTTCTGTTACCTGCATACCAGACCAACTCCCTTTCTCCTGTTCTGTCTCTTCCCTCCAGCAACTACTGGGGTCTCTGAGCCCTAGCCTCACCCAGCAACAGCAGCTACCCCCACCCATTCCAGCCTGCTGCTCTTACTTCCTTCCCCTCCCTCACTTCCCACCCAGTAGGCTTTGTCACCACTGTCCTCTCCTGCCCTGGGCAGGAGCCCACCTTTCCTTCCACCCTAAGATCCCTCCTTGGCTTCACCTTCACCTCCTCCCCGGCCTCTGCAGGTCCTCCCCATCACCTCCTCTTTCCTGCTGTCTGCAGCTCAGTCCAGCTCCCCTCTGACCGATGTCTCTGCACTCAACCAACACAGGGAGCCCCACAACCTTTGTACTCAGGGAGCCCCATCCCACTCAGCACCCTGACACTGCATCCACCTCCTTCCAGGCCCTCTACCTACCGGTCATGGTCAGCACTTCGGAAGCGAGGCAGGATCTGGCGAAAGCTGCTGGTTCGGTCAAGTTTGGGTTGTGACTTTGTACGTTTGATAGAGCTTTTTAGTCTCCGGCTCAGGAAGCCTTGCTGAGGAGCAAATGGGAATAGGGGTGATTGGGGCAGCACAGAGTCTCTCTAGACACCCCTCAGCTGGCAGGGAACCCCTGGAAGAACATGGAGTGGGGGAGGGGAGGGGAGCCCTGACACCAGCTCGTCTTCCTTGCTCCCACGGGTGCTGTGTGAAGTGCGCAAAGACACAAACACACATACTAGCCTGGAAACGGTGGGAGGGCTGGTCTAAGAAGTGGGGGCAGAGCCAAGAAGGGGCAAACCAACCATGTGGGGACACATGCACAGCCTTCCTTGTCCTCTTTTTTCAGAATCCTGGGGCCCAGCTGAGCCACATCTGGCAGGCACTTCCATTCACTCACCGAGGGCCGGAAGGGCGCAGCGGGGGCGGCCTCCATGCTGTACTGCTTCCCCCCTGGGACACTCTTCCTCCTCGAGCGACCCAAGTGGTATTCTACAGGGGAGGAAAGGGCCCGAAGGAAGTTGGGGAAGGGGACAGGGGACTGTAAGTCCGATTTCTTTCTGGGTCAGTACCTTAGCCACCTCCCTCAGTCCCTCAGTTCCGGCCTCACCTACCCCCCGGAAAGCAGCAAGAAGAGCAGCGGCGGCGGAGAGGCTGGCGGTGGGAAGGAGGGGGCAAGGAACCTGAGCCGGAGCCCCCTGATGGGGTCGGGGTGGGAGGCCTTAAGCCCATGACTGGGACTGGCAGTCAGCAGAGGGGCATAGTCAGGAGGAAGATCAGTAAAACCTCCGTAATGAAGAAGAGCCACGACCCAGGGAGGCTCGGTCCCCCGTTCCCCACCCAAGAGAAGGGGCTTGCTTGGCGGGGGGAGATGGTTAAAGGTCATTGCCCATGGGTGGGTTTTCCTCTTTTCTCAGCTGGGCACATCCTCCACCTGCCCCACACCTCCCAGAGCTCCTGTCTGTCTGGAGGTCCAGGGCGGCCTCCCATGACCCCCTCCCAGGACTGGAGGGGGAGGTCTCAGAGGAGACCTGTGCTGAGTAGAGGGGAACAGAAAATCCGAGGAGGGGCCGATGGAAGTGGGGGAGAAGGAGCCGGTTCCACGTGCACTGCGGCGCTAGTGAAGGGTCGAAAAGGAGAAGAAAAGAATGCAGGGGAGTGGGGAGGATGGGCAGTGGGGTTCTGGGGACTCCCAAGTAAAAGCTGGTGAGGAGGAGGAGGGGAGGTGAATGCGGATGGAGCTCAGCCTGCCAAGAGTCTAGAGGAATGGAGGCTTAGAGGAAGGGAGCTGAAGATCTGCTGCTAGGGAATTTGGAGGGTCTAAGGGGCTGAAGGAGAATGAAAGTGGGGGGATGCCAGGCTCCGGCTCCAGCTCCAGAATGGCTGCCCAGGCCTGGACTCCCCCCTCAGCCCCAGTCACCACTGCAGCCAATGGGGGGGCCGGTACTGCATCAGGGGCGGGGCCACCATCTCCATGGCAACAAGAAGCTACAGGCGGGGGGGGGGGGGGGGGGGGGGGGGGGGGGGAGCCGCAACCGGAAGAACTGCCTGTTAACCCACTAGGTTCCAGAATAGAACAGAGAAAGCCACACTACATTTTCATGCCTGCTTCTAGATTGCATTTTGCCTCAGAGCCAGTCCTTCCCTGCTCCTTTCATAGGCAAATTCAGGTTTGCACACACAAGTCTGGATCCCGAGACAAGAGAACCCTCTCAGTCTCCCAGGAACATGTGTAGAGCACAAAAACACACACCAAACAGTGGGGATCCGTGTATATCACAGTTGCAATGAGAAATAATAGGGAACTATGTGCTTCAGAGACATACAGACAGCCTCGAGCATGGGGGCACTGGGGACCCCAGGCCCACACACCCCACAGGCTTAGACATTTGTGAGCACTGCAACAGGGGTATACATACTTGAACTCAGACAGCCACAGAAGAACTGCTGGTGTGGGCTATGCGACCCGAGTGCCTTGGGCTACCATGTGGGCTACACTACACAAATGGACATGTAACCATGTGACAGTTCATGCTTCACAGGAAGGGGCCTGTCAGTTTAACCCCGGAGACACATGCTTAAGTATACTGTGGTCCCATGTGTCATCCCTGCATCATGTACACACCATGATCTCAGCCAGATAAAGGGAGCCCCATGCCCCTAGAGCACATGTTCATAATTCACACTAACAGAACCACCACATTCGCTATCTGTGGACAACCCCCCCCCTTCTAGCTTTCCCATGACTCTAACCACCAGCATCTGTGATGGCTAACTGAAAAAACGGAACAAACAAAACAAAAAAACAAGGAGCAAATGTGTTCATTAGCCTTCTGTCACACAGTGAGCAGTGCCCCCGAGGCCCAGCGTATCTGCCTCCTGATCCGTCCTCTGCAGTTCTCAGGAACTCTCATTCCAGGGAACCTAGCACACAGCCATTCCTTTCATGCACAAGCATCTCTAATAAAGGCATAAAAAGCCTTAAGTTTAAAGCCACTGAAGTTTCCTTTGGAACTAAAGCATTCACAGAGGGGAAGGAATCTGCTTTGCTCGGTTCCTGAAAGCAACACACAGAACACTAGGAACTCAGAAATAAGTCACAGGTGCATGGAGGCCACACACATGTGCTCACAAGGACTCTAACACAGGAAAAGAAAGGTAGAAGCACAGAGAAGAGGGGACAGAGTGACAGAAACACGGGATATCTTGTTATTAGTGCTACCCGCAGTGACATGGACATAGACCAGCACACAACCATGTACACACAGCAAACCTGAAAAGCATACATTGCCATGCTGGGTCTCCATGTCCCATCCCTGCACGATTTATACACTTATGCACACACATAACAGCCACCTACACAGACCCGTAACATAGGCATTGTGCACACACCCACACAGTACACACCCTGTATACACACACAATTGCAAGCAAGCAAGCGCACACACACACAGAGCAAGGGCTTGGACTCCGCCTCTTCAATGTCTCTAATCTTGCCATCACCCACAAACATTTCTCCTACCCTCCAATCCCCCAAATCCCTACCCTTCCCCGTAGTCCTTCTCCATACCCAGCTGACAGCTCTGAAAGGGAGCCAGGGAGAAAGGGAGCCAGAGAAAGATGAGGAGCAGGGCTAGATAGGGAACGGAGAAATCGGGGGAGGGCATGCTCTGCAGAGTCTCCGTGGTGAACCAGGCCTCAGTGGGAACCAGCTTCGATGGCTGGATGGCCTTCTGCAATCCAGCCAAGCCTGATCCTCCAGACTGCACCAGCCTAGCCCTCCACCCTCCCAGACTGCTTCACAGAAAGACCTGGCTCCCGACCGCCGGTGGTCCTCTTTTCTCAAGTCCAGCTCAGCTCTCTCCCATCCCATTCTCAGGGTGTTCTTCCCTCCTGGCTCTGTGCTCTCCTCTTTTGGAGGACTCTCATCCCTGCTTCCCCCTTCACCTCACTCCTTTAGGCTTTCTGTCCCCATTAGGGGACCAGGCAGAGGCTCACACCTGCCTAGCCCAAAGATGTTCATGCAGTCAGACTACAAGGAACCACTCACACACTTCGTCCCCACCACTGGCACACTACCCACATCCAGACACGCCCTGGACACCCATGCCGGGACTGACACAGATACTCAGGCCAATGTTGGAACACACATGCAAAGACACACACCTGCCACCAGGGACACTGAAAATTCTGCTCCCTCGGCCAGCCACACATTCCTACACACTGGCTTCAACCAGGGAGGGACATGCACGCTCAGGGTCAGAGGTAACATGAATCAGTATGGCCACAAACTGCCCCATAAACCAGTGGCTAGCCCCACAGGCCCTCATGCTGTTAACTGGCAGAGGCAGGGCAAGACAGGACATACCTGCACAGTGCTGGCTACACATGTGTGCAAGAGGAATTGGGCCCCATGTGCACATGGCACGGACACACAGAGACACAAGCACAGTCACGATCACACACGCAAACACCAGGGCTGCCCCTCCAGCAGGGCTCCGAGACCCCCCTCACACCAGCCACCCCCACGCGTGCTCACAACCCTGCCCCCACGAAGATGCCAAGACACCCCCCCTCCGACCTCTACTGCCCCCCTCCAGTTACCATAACTCCCCCCACTCGGAAGATGCAGCGAGAACATGCGGAGGGAGCAGCTGCCGCCGCCGCCGCCGCCACCGCGGCCTCCCCAGCCCCCTCCCGTGCCCACGCACACGCGCGCCCCCGCCCCACGCGCGCGGCCCCCACGCGCGCGCCTCGTCCGCCCGGCCCCGCCCTTACCTCGCACCGCCCCCCGGGGGGTCGAGGGTGTCCCCGATGGGGGAGGGGCCCGCTCTGCGCGGGGGAGGGGCGAGTGCGGAGGGAGAGGGGGCGGCGGCCCGGCTCGCGCCGCCCGACGCGGTGGGGCGGCGGCGGGGCCCGGGACGGCCTGGACGGCCGCGCGGTGACAGCCGCGGGAACGGCTCCCTCCGCCGCCGCTCCCGCCGCTGCCGCCGTTGCCCGGGCCCCGCCGCCGTTGCTAGGCGACCGCTGCTGCCGTGGCCGCCTCTGTCACGAGCCCCGTCGCCCGGAGACAACGCGAGAGAGACGGGGGAGGGGGACAGAGGGACCCCCAAAACCAACTAGGCCTCCCATCATCGCCTCCTGAACAGGACCCCCACCCCCAAAAGAGAGAGAGAAGCCCTTGAAGAGAGCGAGCGTTTGCAGCTCCACCCAGCAGAGGAGGAGCCCCGGATTCCAATGCCCTCAAAGGTCCGGCGACCTCTCCCGGGCTGGAGCGTCCACAGCCACAGCAAACACCTTTGCAGACCGGAGCTCCCAAGGCCCCAAAGACCTTCATGTCCCCTGCACACCCTCCATGCCCTCTACACATTCTGTTTCCCTCTGAAGATGCCAAACGTTCACCAGCTATTAACTTCCACTAAACCCTGCCCCCCCCCAACATATATACCCCTGGAACCATCCCCAGGCTCTACTAAAGCCCAACACAGTAACCTCCACAGGCCACCTAAACGCCACTCCAAACACAGGAGACCCACACCAAAGGCCTCAGCACTCTGAGGACCCATCGTAAGGAGACAGAGAACTGTGGGCAGAGCGGCCAACCGCAGGACAAATGACAAACACACTCTGTGAGCATGTTACCATTCCCGTGCACACAGGTACACACTGCACACCAGACACGCACACCAGACAGACATCCCCATCCTCTCTACACTAGGCACCACCTCCTCCTGGCCTGCCTCAGAGTGCTACCTACACCCCTGTGTCAGTTTCCATGACAATGACACACGTCCCTGACCACTGGTCCAGGGTCCCAAAGCTGACCCCCAAGGGCAGTGAGGCCTAGACCTATCAGAAGGCAGCTGGCTGGAGCCAATGGGTAACACAGGCCACTGGGTCTCTAAGGAAGCAACTGGAAGCCTGGATTCCAGGGGAGGAAGAGACGGTGGGATAAAGGGGTCGCCTGGGGTTGAATGGGGGTCGCCTGGGGTTGAATGGGGGTCACGGAAGGGAAGTGCTGGAGAACCGGGCAGTGGCAAGGGGGTTTCCGGGGACTGAGGGCGTCTCTGCACCTTGGCTGCAGATCCCTGTTCTCTGCCTTCATCCCCCCCTCACTGTTCCCATGGAAACCTTTTAAGCGAACTTCTCAGAGGAAGACAAAAATCTTTTTTTAAATGACTAAAGAGGGGGGTGGGGGGCAGAAGGGAGGAGGAAGGGGGAGAGACAGATGGAGAGAGGGAGAGACCGTGAGGAGATGGGGGTCTGACAGAGTTCCACCCAGAGCGGAGGGGAGGGACCCAGGGATCAAGAGCCGAATGGAAAATGAGAATGGGAAACAAGACAGCAGAGGCGATCGACTGCAGGACACAGATCAACTGAGGAAAGGGGGCAAGAAGAGGGGAAGGCCACGGGCCTGACGGGCTGGAAGAAGATGGGGGTTGGCGGGTGGGACACGGGTCTGGTGGAGGGCGGGGACTAGGGCGTTCTCCAAGTTCTCAGACCGAGCTGTGAGGGCCATGGCCAGGAACACAGACGGAGACCGACGATCTAAGGAGACTATTTTTACAGGCACGGGAAACAGTCAAACTTCGCTGCTGGAGAGGAAATGGGGAGCGAAGCAGCGCAGGGACACGCGGGGGCCGCTCACCAACAGCCCCGGTACCCCGCGCAGCCCGGACGAGGGCGCCCTGTCCTCGGGATCGGGATCACGGCAGCTCTCCGCCCCCGCCCGCTCCCAGCGACTGTCCGGGGCACGAGCCTGCTCGGCCGCCGTACCATGCTCGCCGTGGGGCCGCCCCTCCACCGGCACAGAGACCGTGCGTCTCAGCAGCTTGTTGCGGCTGGCCTCGCTCCTCCGGTCGCGGATCAGAAGGGGGTGTATCTAGGGGATTGGGGAGTGTGTCAGACCCCGCGGGCCCGCCGCCCCTCCTCTCCCCTTCCATGGGAGGCCGGCCCCCTGCCAGCCCGCCTGCCCCTTCCGCCCCTGCCCAGTTCACCAGGCCCTGCTAAGGGGACTACTTCTCGTTCCCTCCTCTCCCTCTTCAAACAGTCTAGAGAATTCTCCCCAACCCCGCTCAGCGCTTCCCGCAACTCCACAGGAGTTAGCTACCTCCTGCCTCTGGGTTCCCCTTGACCTTCAGGTCGTCCATGCTCCTGCTTCCCTCCCGACCTCCTCCCTTCCTCACCCCCTTCTCTCCCTCAGGCTCGTCACAGCTGCATTTATAATCAGCTCCACAGCTTGTCTCCCTCCCACAGCCCGGCTTGCGGCCAGACTGGGACCCAACCTCCCCTCCCCCAGAGGGCCTGGTCACCTCCCCCTTCCGTCTCCTTCCTTTACCCTCCACCTGCTTCTGAGTCCCTCTTCCCTCAGCCCTACCTTTCCCTGGGCCTCACCTCAACTCCCCCTGGGAGTCGTCACCCTAACTTCCACCCCTACCAGAAGCTAGACTCCCACGAGGCCCCAGCCCCACCATCCACCCAGTTCCAGCTCTCCAGGCTTCATTATTCCAGCTCCTCTCTGCCTCCCCACTCCCACCTTCCTACCAGACAGGCTATTCCTGCTGGCCGGTGGCTAGTGGGTCCTCTCCGTCTCCATCTCATGCTGGTTCTCCTTTCCCAGTCCATCCAATGGACTTCAAATCCCTGGTCTCGGCTGATGACTGATGCCAAATCACTCAAATGCCTTTCAATACCCCAACCTGAAGTTTACCGGGCCACCTCACCTGCAGCCGGGTTAGCGTGCTTTCCCAGACCCTTCTGTTTTATGGTCTGGCATTCCCTCTCCACAGCTTCACCTGCCCTCACGGCCCCCTACGCCGAGGTTAGCCCGAGTCCATCCCAAGCGTTTTTAGGCTCAGCTCTCACCACCTCTTCCAGGCTACCCTACCACTCTCTAAAGATGGCTCCCCACATCACTCACACCTGAGGGCCTCACCCTTCAGATCTGGACCCTTCTTCCCTGATGAACTGTCTATTGCTGCCCCTGTTCCTCCTTTGGAACCCATACTCCTCTGACTCTCCATTTCATCTCCTCACTCCTCACTCCTCGCCCTACCCAAGTCCATACTCCAGCTGCCTGCCTCCTCAGGCCGCTCCTTGCATCTCCCTTTCTGACACCTAACCAGCCCTGCAGAAGCATATGTAAACCCTGGTCTCAAGCACACATCATCTTCGCGACCTCGGTCATCTGTCAGCCCCTCCAGCCCCTCCCACTCCCCTGCCTTTTCTGGGGTCATTCAGTCTTGGTCTGCACTGTGCAGCATGATGAAGACCTAGGAACGGCAGAGGAGGCAAGCTGAGGCTCCCTCTCTCCCATGGCTCTTCATTCCCCTCCCCCATTCTAACCTATCCCACAATATGGATGGGGTGAAGATAAGAGGCACACTCAGATCCTCAGAACCACAGCTCCTCCACAGCACCGCCAATGGCCTCAAAGACCCGCTAGCAAAAGTCAAAGAATGGCTATCCTCTTCATAACATCCGGGCCACATCTCAGTGGTCACCCTCCGCCCATCTCTCCTTGGGGAGTCTTCCTTTCACTGACCAGGACCCTCCCCATTGTCCTCTCCACCCTCTCCCACTTTTCCCAACCTCCTCACCGACCCGCTCACCTCATCCTCATCCAGCATGAGCAGCTGGTTCCCCGAGATGATGCAGAACCGAGGGTTCCAACCAGGACGATCGTATGGGGAATGAACGTATTGGGTTCGGTGCATAGGGGGTCCCCGTACATCTGGGGGACAGAGACACACAAACAGTAAGGGAGGGGCTATACTGGGGGCATAGAAACTTAAATGGAAAGAAGGTCTGCAAAGTGGGAAAAGGGAATGCCACCTGCCTGAAGAGACCTATTGGGCACGAAGTGCCTGTCGATTTTAAAGGGTCAGAAGATGAGCCTCACACTGAGGAGTCGAGTCCTAGGAGGCTCCAGGAAGGGGACGGGAAGTAGTCTCATGACAGAGAGGGACTTTACTGGGGCAGGAGAAGGTGAGAGCTCTGTTCCTTCCCTTGTGTGGGGGGCGGGGGGAGAGACTTACTGAAACTGGCAAAAGATAGAGAGGTCAGAGGGAGGCATTAATGACCCGCTACAATGGATGAGGCCCCACATGTTTAGGAGAAGAGGTACCTAGCTGGCGGGAAAGAAGATGGGTGTTTAAGAACATTTGGGTCACGGAAATTCTGAGCGCTAAACATCTGGAAGACAGGAAGTGGGCTTCCATGTTCAAAGAAGCATGATGGCCTCCCTCCCTTACCTTACCTTCCTCCTTCCCTAGCCCTACCCTGTTCCTCCTTTGGGGGAAGTGTCCAGGGAGAAGACAGCTTTTCTAAGGAGGATCAGGGTGGGAGAAGGTGGGAAATAAACTGTCAGGAAAACCAGAGACCAGAGCAGCCTTTGTTCATAACGTGCTCAGCAGTGAAGAGTCAATCCTGCTCTCCCTACCTAACCTCATGGACAGGAAGGAAGCTGACTCCGACTCCACAGGCTGAGACCTCACCTGGGCACAGTGAGGGACCTAAGAAAGAATGAAGGAAAGATTGGAACCGCCAAGCCTGATGACGGAGGAACATCCCAAGAGGAGATGTGAAGACAGACCAGTTTCCAGAGGAGAACAGGGCCAAGGGCTGTGCGTGCTCAGGTGCCAGGGTCCTGCAGGCCCATCTGCGCTGCCTGGCCAGCACCACTGCCACACACCACTCATGGGGACACAGTGAAGGGCCTTAAGGGAGTCAGGAAAGCGAGACTGGAGACATCAGAGTGGTAAAACCAGGCTTAAGATGCTGGTTAGAGAATGTTCACTGCAAGAAAGCCCAATGCTGTCGTCTCTGTCGGATAATGAATTTGGCACATTTCAGGAGAAATGGCCTTGGGGCCTTGTTCCGGTGCCTTGAGTGACCTCTGAAAAACTCCATCCCCTTACTGATTATGGTAATTCCTCAAATTTACCCAACCTGCAGGCCAGAGAGAAAGATGAACCGCTGGGATCTAAGAGTCTAGAATTCACAATACTTTCAAATTTTCACTCCCGGTGCTTTCTTGGAGACCACCAATATTCTCTATGCACAAAGACCACTGGCGGGCAGGGGAGTATAGCTCAGTGGTAGAAAATAACACTAGAATTCAAAGGCCCCAGCACAACCACCACCACCCATAACTTAGACCACAGACACTGGAGGCAACAAGCCTGCTGCTGCATCTCAACAGTGGTGCGCCCAGAGGAAAGAGCTGTTGATACATATAACCATAGCAGAACAGGGGAGCTGCTCCAGGCTGCGGCTGGGGCAAGCAGGTTAGACCTCAGGGGACAGGAAAAGGGACACAGGGAACCTTAGCTTAGGAACAGCTCTCACACACACACACACACACACACACACACACACACACACACACACAGAGGTTAGATCTCAGGGGACAGGAAAAGGGACACAGGGAACCTTAGCTTAGGAACAACTCACACACACACACACACACACACACACACACACACACACACACACACACGAGAGTATAGACTTAAGAAAGATAATGATCCTGGGAGGCAAAGGAACATGGCAGAGAAAGGGGAAATGGGAAATTTTTACTGCAATAAGAAGTTCCACAAGGGTTCAAGAGACCCTGTTCCAACCCTCAAAACCTGTGTTTTGGCACCCCCAAATCTCCATCACCCCAGGAAGCAGAGGGACAAGAAAAGAGGAATGGTGATGAAGGCTGGGGAATAAAAGGAAAAGAAGTAGGCACAGACCATGTGACAAGATGGGATGTGGGGTAGGAAATAGAAGATGGGTTGAGGGACACATAGCAGAGTGGATCTAAAAGTAGAGGAAGTAGATGATGAGAAATGCCTGGGGACAAGGGACTAGATCAGGTGTCAGCCAACACAGGGCAGAGGCATTCCCTAACGAGCAGCATGGGTCCAGGAGCAGCACTGGTGTAACAAGGTAGTCATTAGAAGAGAGGGGGAGACAGATATGAGACAGGGGACTAACACAGGGGAAGGACAGGAGGGGGACTCATATAAGAAACGGACACCATATGGGGGGAAAGATATAAGTGATGGACAGCAGAGGAAGGGAGGGGGAATGGAAATAAGAGGTGGGGTGGGGGAAGGGGAATTAAGTGAAGAGAGCAGATGAGACCCCAGGATTGCATTTCACGTATCCAGAGTCCTAAGTAGGGCCAGCTACGGCAGGATTCTAACTGGGCCCTTGCTCCCATCCGTCTATCTTACTTGCATCTCCCCCAACCAAAAAAACACTTGGTCCTCCCCCTCCTCGGGCATCCCCTCCCCCAATCCTTTCTCTCCTCTCTTCCCTCCATCTGGACCCCCCCACTGCCACCCTCTTTCTCCATCTGGCCCCTTACCTCCCTCCATCCTTCTCTCTTCCCCTACCCCTACTTGAGACCCTCACCAAATCCCCTCCCCATCTTCTTGGCCTCTCTTCCACCCCTATGTTTTCATTTCCCCTTCCCCCTAAGACCGTGCCTCTATTTCCTTGATATTCCTCCTCACTCAGCTCCCAAACCCAAATAATTCATGCAGCTTTCCCCCAAACTCAATCCTCCCTCCTTATGCCTTTTTGACGCTCTTTCCCCTCCATCACCTTCCCCTCTGCCCCCTTCAGGGCCTCTGTCCCAGCCCCTCCATCCCTCAGATACCCCTATGCCTCTAACCTCCAATCCCTCCTTTCCCGCTGTTCCCACCTCTGCCTTCTCAGCCCTCCCCTCTCCCTCCATTTCAGCCGCTCCCTCCCCTCGGTGGCCCCGGCTCTCCCCCGCCCCCTGCCCCTCCCCCTCTTGCCCCCCCATCTGGCCCTCCCCCTACCCCTATCACCACCGTACCTCTGAAGGGGGCATAGGACATCGCGGGGATGCTCCCCCGATGGATGGAGGCTCGAGACCTGCTCATCAGGCCTGAGGGGGAGGGGGCGGGGGGACGGGGGAGAAAAAGAAGAGAGAAAGAGGGGGAGAGAGAGGGGGAGAAGGAGGAGGTGGAGGAGGAGGAGGAGGAGAGAGGAGGAGAGAGGAGCGGAGAGGAGCGAGAGGAGGAGAGAGGAGGAGGAGGAGGAGAATAAGAGCCAACGGCAGCGGCAGCGGCAGAGAGAGAGAGGGGGGGGGCGGGGGAAGCGAGCTAGTGAGGAGAGAGCAGGAGGAGGAGGGAGAGACTCTGCAGCCCCCACCCCTACTCTGGGAGACCCGGGAAAAGAGCGAGCGAGAGACCCCTGACTCATACACACCAGAGGCAGCCGTCCTGAAGAAGCTGACCCCAGACCCTGAGTCAGACCCCAGACCCAGAGAAGGATACCTCACCCCTCACTCCACACTCAACACATTAATCTCACAGACCCAAATCCAGAAGGAAAGAGACCCCTGATCTCAGGGAAAAATCAAACAAACAAAACAAAACAAAAACCACCCCCTCCCCAAGAAAGGAGTCAGATCAGAACCTGAGAATCCAGTCTCAACAAGGTTCTCCAGACCCACGTTAATCTTAGACTTTGGACCCTGGGTTGGTAGTTTTGGGGACCCAAAACGGAGACCTAGACTCAAAGAAAAAGATGAAACCAGTATGAGAAAGCACCCCAGCCCAGAATTAGACCTTAGGAACTAGCTAGAGATGAGAAACCCCAGATTCCTATCTCAGAGAAAACTGCAAACTTGGGACCCAAAGATGGAGAGAGATCTGAAGCTCATTAAATCTGAGAGACCTTGGTCGGGGATCATGGGACTCAATTCCCAGAAGCAACTCAAAATGTAACTCAGACCCTATAAAGATCCCAAATACTGGAACCCCCGACTCCCCCCCCCCACACACACACACACACAAGGATCTGTGAGACTCATGAGGGAAATGAAGAACCTGAACTTCAGCCTGGGGGACCCCAGACCCTGGAGGAAGGAGTAGTATTTGGGTGGCAGAGCCTTTCCCCTGCTGTCTCCTCCCTCCTCGCTGACCTCTCCCGGGCCCCTCTTCATTTTTGGGTCACTGGGTGTGTTTGGGCCCCAGGGAGGTTATGTAGGGCAGGTCCTGGTTCCTTGGGGGAATGGATGAAGGCCAGGAGACCCAAGACTGAGAGGTGGGCCAGTCCTGGAGAGAAGAATCAGCCGGGGAGAAGGCACAGGGCCATCACCCCGAACCGCAACTCCCATCGCTCCTTTCCTCTCCTGTGCCAGCCTGTCCTGAGCTTTGCGTGTTCGGGACCGCCCATCGCACGCTAGCCCATTACAGGTGTCACCCAGCCCTCTGAAAGGGTATCCCTCACCAGCCATGGCCGTGCCAGGGCTGAGCCTGCCTGATCACCACCGCCCCCTACCCAGGGGCAGCTGGCTTCCCAGCTCGGTGCCAACGCGAGGGCGGGGGGGGGGGGGCGCCGTCCCCACCCACAACTGTCTGCCCAGGCCCTCCCACCACGGCTGGCCTCTCAGGGCGGGGAGGAGGGGGGACTGTTACTAGGCACATTCCGGGGCTCAGGACGACTCCCCAGCCCCAGCCTGACGCAGCGAGGGCGCCCATCGCCAGGTCCCGCGTCCGTCACGTGGCCCGCGAGGCTGGCCGGCGATTGGCCTCGGCCCGCGGCTCCTGAGGCGGCGCCGCGTGAGAGGACGAGGGCTGTCACGTGACGGCGGGCCGCCGCAGCGGCCTGCCCCAGCCAGCAACGGGCCGGGGCTTCACGGAAATGGGCGGGCCGCTTCCGCGCACGTCCTCGGTCCCGGCTGCCGATTGGCCAGCGGGCCCCCCCCGCCCCGCCCCCTCGGGAGGCGAGGCGATCGGGCCACTGGAGGGCCGGGATTGGCCCATCTGGAGACTCTGGGACAGCCTGCGCCCCCGTCACGTGGCCGCCGCCCAGGTAAGAGGCGGCTGCTCCGCTGGGGCTCCCGGTCCTTGCCCCGTCCGTGAAGCGCGCGGCCTCGGATCCCATCCCTCCTCCACCAGCTTGGGCTGCATGAGCTGGGGGCGGGCCCCCGTCGTCCTGCTCGGCGGAGGGGTGAGTCTGGCCCCGCCCCTTCCGGTCTCCAAGTTTCACCGGGCTTCAGTACCCCGAACCGCCTAGGAGGGGCCAGGCGAGGTGTTCCAAGTTTAAGTTGCAGGGGCCTTTTCCTTCCCGGTGCAGAAAAGGCAGGGCAGAGGCTTGGTGTCCGCCCCAGCGAGGGCACCCCGGGGTGCAGGCTCCTAGGGCGGCCGTGGGGAAGCTGAATCCGCCCCCCTGCTCTCAGGCCACGCTGCTCCTGTCGTTTCTTTGGATGCCCGCGCTGCTGCCGGTGGCCTCCCGCCTTCTGTTGCTACCCCGAGCCTTGCTGTCCATGGCTTCTGGAAGCCCTCCCCTGCCCTCTCCGGCCTCGGGCTCCGGCTACGTTCCAGGATCGGTTTCTGCAGCCTTTGTCACTTGTCCCAACGAAAAAGTCGCCAAGGAGATCGCCAGGTGGGGACCTCGGCGAGATGACCGACCGGGGAGAGTTGGGGCTGGGAAGGGCGCTGCCTTTGCAGGTCTCTGGGCTACCGGCACAACCCCTGGCCGGGCGCGCTCTGAACGTGCTCTCGATTCACCCCCAGGGCCGTGGTAGAGAAGCGGCTAGCCGCCTGCGTCAACCTCATCCCGCAGATCACTTCCATGTGAGTCCTCAGAAACTTAATTTCACGGGAGGGGCTGAGAGCTTTTTCTGGGGGAAATCGTTCTTCCCCAAGACTTTGTTCCCCTTCTTTCTCTGACCTCTTCAGCTATGAATGGAAAGGAAAGATCGAGGAAGACAGTGAGGTGTTGATGGTGAGAAAATACCCCTCTTGTCTGGCCCTCATCTGACCTCAGTTCCTCCCCGTGGTTCAACTGTCTCTCTTTGCCCTTTAGATGATTAAAACCCAAAGCTCCCTGGTCCCTGCTCTGACAGAGTTCGTTCGGTAAGAACTTTAAGGTATTCTTTTTGTGGCGGTACTGGGGAATGAACCAGGGCCTTGAGCATTTCATCAAGCACTGAGTGATATCCCCAGCTCACTAAAAGAGCTCTGAGGTGGACACTGTGGGGTGGACCTTGCTGGGGAGCCCAGGACTGGTGTCTGAGGGGGTGTGCCTTTGGGTGACTGAATAACCCCTGCCCTATGACTTCTGCAGATCTGTGCACCCTTACGAAGTTGCTGAGGTGATTGCATTGCCTGTGGAGCAGGGGAATCCCCCATACCTGCATTGGGTGCGCCAGGTCACAGAATCCGTTTCAGATTCTGGCACAGCCCCCTCCTCTGCTTAAGGCCCTCTGGTCTCCAGGTGATGATGTCTGAGCCCCCAATAAATCCTCTTCTGTTCTCTCTGCCTTTTCCCTTGTAACACAGATGTGGTTGGGGAAGATCAAAAGTTCCTCTGGTCCTTGTATTCTGTCCATCTTTCAGAATGACTCATGTCTACTAGGTTTGTTTATTTCTCTTTATTACAGTCATACAGAGTCTGGAATCCTGGACCACCGCCACCCCCATCTCTATACCCAGGGGTTAAATAGTTTTAAAAAATATTTTAAAAGCTGTAACAAAATAACATCAAAGGGAATGGGAAGGATGAGGGGTCAGGAGTCATGAAGAGGCAGAGAAGAGGACCTCTTCCCCACCCCCCGGATTCCAGCCTGGGTGCAGGGAAAACTACTCCCAACTCTCCAGGTACATCCCAGCTGTAGGTGAGGTCAGAGGTCAGGGCATGAAAGTGCCAGTGTGAACGGGGAGGTGAGCAGAAGAGGACTGTCAGAAGATGCCACCTCCTCCCCACTCAACTAGGTACTGCACAGAGCCATCGGGCCGCACTCTTCGAGCAAGGACCCTGACAGGGTCCCCGCGGGATAGGTAGCCAACCCCACCTCGGACTCCTCCCCCAGTCCCCGGAGACAAACTATGGCACAGAGAGGAAGGGGGTACTGAATGTCTGGAAAGGCCTGGGATAGGGGCTGGGGCTGATGAGGCAGTCGTTGAGTGGGAAGAACTTTTAGGGATGTCTGTGGGGAAGCCAATGTGAAGTTCCAGGGGTGACCTGGAAGAGAGAAGACAGCAGTGAGATCAGACAGGCCAGATGTGGGCAGCTTTAATCCCAGCATTTGAGGTAGAAGGGCTGCCGTGAGTCTGAAGTCAGTCTGGGCTACAGAGACCCTGTCTCACATACTATGGAGACCACAGGTTTGAGAAACTAAGGAGCCTAAGGCCACGGAAGGAAAGGAAGAGCTGATGTTAACAGGGGTGCTCACCTGTCCGGGGGTTCACCATCCCCAGAGGTCCCCGCAGTGCTGGCACAAGGGTGGAAGGAAGCGAACATCCGGATGGGGCTGCTGCGGGGGAGGCAAGTCAGGGCCTGGAGGGAAGCCTGTCTCCCCCCCTCTACTGCACTGTGCTCCCAGAACACTGCGGGGGGGTGGGGTGGGGGGGATCGAGAAGTGACGGGGAAGAGGGAAAAGTACTGCGGGTGACAAGTGTCTAGGGACTGCAACTAATGGGCTCGTCTGGATCAGGCACCGACCTGGGCAGACAGCGGGCATCTGTGGGCCGGAAGTTGTAGCCGCTGCTGCCCTGATAGCTCTGGTTAGGGCTGGGGGGTGGTGGAGACACTGAGGCCTGTAAGAAAGGTCGGGAGCTGTGAGATGACCCTTCACCCTTTCCCCCACCCTACCAGTTTGCCCCATGGTGCCCCCGCCCGCCCCTGTACCTGCAGGGCCCTCTGTAGACGGGCCCGCTCCCTCTGCTCCCGGGACCCATGCCGACTGCGCACTGCCGTGGGTGGTCCCAGCTCCTCCACTTTCCCCTTCTGCCTCCTCAGGGTGTCTGGCTCCGACCTCCGTCGTTTCCCCAGGGGACGTGAGACCCCTCCCCCAGGGCCCTGCCCTGAAGGGAAGCTGTAAGAGGCCTCCTTATCCCCCCAGCCCCCTCCCAGGCACCCCAAGACCCCCCATTTCTGTATATGTACCCTCCAAACCTATCCTTGAGAATTTCCCCATCCCCCCTGGACCAGTGACCTGGTGGGGGCTCCATCTCCAGTGAGAGGCTCCACAGGAGGAGGGGTCCGAGCGTGGAGACCAAAAAGACATTTCCTCTTTTTAATCTCCCTCCCTGAAATGAAGCTAGGACAAGGAGAGAGTCAACCTGTCAATGCTGTAGCGAAGTCCCCTCATCCCGACTCCACACCATCCCTGAGCCTCCCCCTTTTTCTGACTCACCGGTCCTTGTGGCTGTTAAGAGCAGAAAGGAGCTTGGAAGAACGTTCTCCCTTGGGGGTGTCTGAAAGCTGAAGGAAGAGGTAAATGGGTCAGGGAGCAGTCATTCCTCTCCATGTCCCACCCCAGTTTCCAAACTTTAGAACCCTCACCTCCCCGAGGAGCAGACTGTCCCAATTCTCAGAGGTGAAGGGGAGGATCTCTCGGTCAAAATCAAAGTATTTCTTCTTACAGCAAACACTGAGATGGTAGAGAACAAGATGGGCCACATCCACCCTGGAGAAGCATGAAGTTATTAGCAGCAGCAGCATTATCAAAGTCAGGAGTCATCAGGGTAAAATATCAGGGAATAGAAAGGAGTCACATTTTGGGAGCACAATCCATCTCACCAGCGAAGCTGTAACCTTCGGACCTTCTCGGGGCCACCCCGGCACACACAGCATTCAAATTCATAGAATCTGTATTATGAGTAAGGCAGAGGACACACCTCATTCAGCCCTAACACAGAGCAAGCGGTAGTAGAGAGCTAACACGTGGGGAGGAGAGCTGGGCAGAGCACAGCAGGAAGGCATCCCAGCTCTGGCAGTCTCCACTGGTCTCACCTGTCTCCATAGAGGAGGGGCTTGCTCAGACACTGGGTACAGGCCTCATGGAACCACTGAAGGCAGATCCGGCACTGCAGCATTTTCAGGTTCCACCTCAAGGGGAAGACAGCCCTCTTGAAACCACCCCAAGACCCTCATCCACCCCCTCACCACAGGGCTCCCCTCACCCTGCCTTTCCCTTGTTCCTGGGCTCTACCACCTCAACACCCACCCCATAACTTGCACCCCTCATCACTCACTCCCCAGGGCCTCCACAATAACAGTAGCTCTGTTGTCGGTTGCTCAAGTGTCCAGCATCCCAATCCAGCCCCTTTAGTCCATATGGCAGAGAGAGTTTCATGCCCAGCATGGCCCGGGCATAGGGACCCTTCTTCAGTGCGCCTCCCCTCTGCAGAGGAACAGGTGGAAACCTCAGAGGCAGGAGAGGAGACCATGGGAGGCTGCCACAGCAAGGGGCAGAGAAGTGCCTTTACCTTGGTGGCCATCGCAAAGACGCACTGGCGGCAGACCCAGGATGTGCCCTCTCCTTCTCCAGGGGCTGGGGCCCTGGGAACGTGACAGTCCTGGTGATAAGCTGAATAAGCACACTGTTGAGAGTGGAGCACTGTGCATACACCTGCATTGGCGTGGCGCTTGGACATGGCAGCCTTTCCTGCCCATTAAGTCCGGACCGGCCCTAGCGGGTGTATTATCCTGACTCTGCAAGTGAGTACACAGGCTTCTAGCAGTTGAGGGCCTTGCCCAGGGAAGCACGGTTAGGAAAGGATGTGTGTAAGCTACCTCAACCTTGCAGGGCTTATGTCACCTTCAACCTTTGGCTCCCTCTCCCTGTCCTGAGAGATGAGGTGACAGGGTGAAGACTGGCCAGGAGACACAAAACCCATGCTACAAAGGCCAGTGGCAGTCCAGAAGACCCAGGGCAAACTGCACTGTTCAAGTACCCTGCCCTCTCACCGTGGCGACACTTCTCACAGCTGACCAGCCGGTTCCCAGGGACCACAGTCTCAGAGCGACAGACACAACAGAGGAGCTCTTCCCCAGGGAGGGCAGCTGTGAGGGAACCAAGTGTCAGGAGGCTTACTTCAAGCCAATGTCTCCACCCCTCCAGCCTCTGCAGGTATGAAGGGTCTCACCCGGGCTGATGTCCTTCCATAAAACCAGAAACTGGGAATCGTCCTCAAACTGGACCAGACACACCTCCCGAGCACTGTCCACCTGGAATAGGTGAGGCGCAGAGGTTATGAAGTGGGGCAGGAATCAGGAGAACGAGAACGAGGAGCTGGTGAGGGCCAGAGGGGCTCTCACCTTCTTGATGGTGCCCAAGTACAGCAGCCCATCCGTCCACCTGGCCAGCACATCTTGGCCCTCCCAAAGTCGAGGTCTGGGGCCTGAGGTGGGAGCAGGGGAAGCTGGATCCCAAAGAGAGGGTGCACCCAAGCGGCTCAGCCGGGGGAGCTGCGCCATTGCATCCTGGGGGGGCCTAGTCAGAAACAGGATGGAAGAGTTTATGAATGTTAAGAAAGCTTTACTGCTGTTTCTTTTCTGCCGTGGATAAGGGACCAAGTACCTCCAACTCCAGGCTCTCAGTCCTTCAGACACCTAAGGAGGTGGGTCACCCTGGTCAGCTCCTTGACTCCACTCCTTTCTCTACTGTCTCCCCAGCCTAGTTCTCAAGCACCCCACCTCCCAGAGACCTCAAGGGAAAAGATGCTTGCAGAACCAAGGTTACCACTCCGTTTCACCTTTCCCAGCTGTTTTGAGTTGTCCTAACTGGGACGCTCTGCTGCCCAGGGATATTTTGGGAGCTTTTCTGGAAATGTTTCCCTGAGTAGAAACAGCCGCCTCCTCAGACCTGTGTATCTCATTTAGAACCACTATCCTGGTGCCAGGTTATGTTAGGTCACCCTCAAATTTGAGGCTCCTTGCCCTGGGATTAGGTAATTTCCCCGAGTGCCCCAGGAGGGGGGCGTGTCCCTGTCCAGGTCTCTACTCCCCTACACCACCAGTCTAAGGAGGGACTTGAGTCTTCTCAGCCCAGATCCTAAACCTGGACCAGAAGGCTCTCCTGCCTATTCCTGCGCACCGACCCCTGGCTCCCTGCCCCCGCTCAGGGCCTCCCGCCTTCTCCTTACCGGTGACAGCTGGGGCAGCTGGGAGCTAGGCAGGGGCAGACCCAAGACACCTGGGTGAGCCCTCAGTGCGGGAGGAGTGCGTGTGGAAGCCGGGAGGCGTGCAGGAGGAGGCCGGGGGGGTCCCTGGGCCCAGCCCCTCCGTCCTGGCGGCTCTGGGGCGTATGACGCAGCAGCCAAAGCAGCGGCAGCGGCAGGAGGAGTCGGCAGAGGGAGGGAGGAGAGTGGTGGGTGGGGAGCACTGGGAGGAGGAGAAGCCGGAGGGGCGGGTAGGCAGCACCTCCCTCACCTCCGGCACGCCCGGAGGGCACTGCACGGTTGGGGGCGCGGCCGGTCGGGGAGGACGAGGAAATCCTTGTGGCCCCTTTCGGGTGGGAGGCTCGCTTGGAGAGCAGCAGGAAATAACCCTCTTGGCAGCCAGCCTGCAGGTCAGGGCTGGGCCCCGCCCCATGCCACATCCGTTGGCTGCCCCGCCCCCGTGGCCACCCCAAGCTCCGCCTCCGCACGCGGCACCGCCCTCCCCCATTCACACTTCCTGTCGCCCCGCCCTTCTGCGCACGCGCGGCCCCGCCTGGGCGCAGCACCTGGGCAGCCAGCCACACCTCCCGCCGCGAGAACCCCGGTGGCTGCGCTCCTCCGGAGCGGGGAAGGACGTCGGGGCTAGCAGCGAGGCGGTGACGTGCCCGTGGCCAACCAATGGGCAGCGGGCGGCAGGGACCGATAGTTCGAACCGGTGGGCAGGGAAAGGGAGAGAATGTGGAGCGCCCTGGCAACTCTCACACCAGACAAGAACATTCTGTCCCGGGCTGGGCCTGGGGCCAGGCAGTGGGCAGCTATGGGTACAACTCCGTGTGCTGAAGAATAGAGAAGCGGCATCAGGACAGCAAAGGATGCCTAGCCAAGCGAAAGCTAAGAGAGGAGAGCCTATAGCCTCACTGCAAAACACATGTCAGAATGGACACTTCTACATGCTTACAGGTATTTGTTTACAATACATTCCTGTAGCAGCTACTAGTATTAATACCTTTATTTAAGAGCTGTAACAAGGGCTGGAGAGATGGCTCAGTGGTTAAGAGCACTTACTGCTTTTGCAGAGGATCCCAGGTTCTGTTCGCAGAACCCACTCACAATCATCCGTAGTTCCAGGGCACCGGAAGCCCTCTTCTGAATTCAAGGAACACCAGACATATACATGGTGCACATGCATACACACCCAAGCAAAACAATTATACATTATAAAAAAATCTAAGAAAAATGTTTTAAGCCTACAACAAAATTTCTTTATTTGATAATTAGATACATAATGTTGTCCACCCAATAAAAGCATTTCTCAACCCCCACCCCCACCAAGAACATACACACCAAAACACACAGAGACACATGCACACTCGCTTGCACAGGAATCAGGCTGTGGCTCCATCTTCATTTCTTATTAGCCTGAGCAGTACCAATAACACACTGGTTCACCTGTGGACCAATAAGGTTATACAAGGTCAAAGTTTGCAAGGTAACTACAACAGTCTGCCCATTCTACCCCTAGCACCAAGGCTGGAGATGCCCTCTGAAATGCTGAAAAGGGGCTATGAAAGTAGGCTCAGCCGGCTCCCCCTTGAGTTGTCCTGTGTCCACTAGGCCTGGAGGAGGTCAGAAGTCTAAAGAGATGAAGCCCTATCGTGCTGGCCAGTTTTTATGTCAACTTGACATAGGCTAGCTCTCATTTGAAAAGAGGAAAACTTAACTGAGAAAACATCCCATCAGAATGGCTTCTGGGCAAGCCATTGGGCTTTTTCTTAATTAGTGACTGATGTAAGAGGACCCACAACCCTATTATGGGCGGTACCACCCCAGGCAAGTGTGTCCTGAGGTGTATAAGAAAGGCTAAACAAGCCACAAGGAGCAAGCCAGTAAGCAGCACTCCCCTATGTCCTGCAGAGTTATTGGCCTGACTTCCCTGGATGATGGACTAGACCCTTTCAACTCAAGTTGCTATTGGTCATGGTGTTTTATCATAGCAACAGAAAGCTAACTAACATACGTACACAAAGATCACAGGAGCAGAGGTCTCCATTTCCAGCAATACCCTGGACTGGACACCTCACCTTCCTACAAAAACCTAGCAAGACATTAAGTCCCTTTGAGAACTAGGGCTCCTGAGAAAACACATCACCATACAAGAGGAACTGGAAACAGAGACTACTGCGTACACATCAAAGGACACAAGAGGTTATCGTGCCCATTATGTATAAGGCCCTAGGCAGGTTCCATCTCCAGCACAGCCCAAAGATGTAGCCATGGGAGGATCAGAAAGACTAAGTGGGAAAGACTGATAGATGTCAAATTTGTAAGCACCTGTGAAAACCTCCTCCTGATAACAGCTTATGGTTACATTTAGAGTTGCTTAGGATAGGAACTCAATACTGAAAACCATATTCAGTGTCTTGAGGCTGCAGAGATGATTCAGTATTTAAAAGCACTTGTTCTTACAGAGGACCTGTGGGTTCAGTTGCTGGTACCTATATGGTGGCTTACAACCATCCATTAACTACAGTTCCAGGAAATCCAATGCCCTCTTCTAACCTCCTCTGATAACAAGTACAAAAGTGGTACACACCCGTGCATTCAGGCAAAACAGTCATTTACATAAAACACAACCTTTTTTCTTGTTTTTTATTGTTTGTTTGTTTTAAGATTTTTATTTAATTTTTTATTTTATGTGCATTGGTGATTTGTCCACATTCATGTCTGTGTGAGGGTGTTTGGTGCCCTGGAACTGGAGTTACAGACAGTTGTGAACTGCCATGTAGGTGCTAGGAACTGAACCAGGGTCCTCTGGAAGAGCAGCAAGTGTTCTTAACAGCTGAGCCATCTCTCCAGCCCCTTTTCTTGTTTTTTTGAGACAGTTTCTGTGTAGCCCAGCTGTCCTGGAACTCACTCTGTAGACCAGGCTGGCCTCAAAACTCAGAGATCTACCTGTCTCTGCCTCTCAAGTGCTAGGATTAAGGGCATGTGCCACCACACCCAGCTAAATCTTTAAAAATAAACAAACAAACGAATAAATAAATCCAGCATTTGGGGGCTGGAGAGCTGGCTCAGAGAGTAAGAGCACCGGCTGTATTCCAAAGGACCCTAGAGTTACACAGAGCAGCTCACAGCGGTCTCTCTCCAGTCCCAGGGCATCCAACACACTCTTCTGGCCTCCCTAGGCACCAGGCACACACACAGTGCACAGACATAAAAGCACACAAAATACACACACACACACACACACACACACACACACACACACACACACACAGAAAATCCTGCTTCTACCTTTTCCTAAACAGACAACCAATATAGGTGTCCCCCTCGTTTCACTGTCCTTGACAAATTGAAGGTTTGTGGTAACCCTGCATTGAACAAATCTATTTGGTGCCATTTTTTCAATACTTCAGGTAATCACTACCACGTGTTAGCAATTAAGTATTTTTAAATTAAGGTCCACACCTTTAAAGCTTAACCAGCTACAGTATATTATAAATCTAATTCATGCACACCTCATGCCTCTGCTTTACTACAACATTCACAGAACTGAACCTACCACAGGATCTTTGAGGTATGCTTTTTCATGGTGAGGAAGAATTCTTAATAGAAGAGTCATGACTAACTAATGAAAACTAATTAGAAATCACCATTTTAAAGCCCTCTAACAAAATGATAAAACTAGATATGATTACTGTTTCTAACATTACTAGTTGAGCTGGGTGGTGGTGGCGGTGGCGGTGGCGGTGGCGGCGGCCTTTAATCCCAGCACTTGGGAGGCAGAAGCAGGTGGATCTCTGAGTTCGAGGCCAGCCTGGTCTACAAAGGGAGTTCCAGGACAGGCACCAAAACTACACAGAGAAACTCTGTCTCGAAAAACCAAAAAAATCCACTAGTTGAAAATCAATGGGCCTAGTGTGGTGATACACAGCTCTAGTCTGAACACTTGACAGGCAGGCAGGAAGATGAGTTCAAGGCTACCTGATACTGTCTCAAACTAAAAAACGAAGAGATGAGCCAGGTGGTGGTAGTGCACACCTTTAATCCCAGCACTCAGGAGACAGAAGCAGGCGGATCTCTGTGAGTTCGAGGCCAGCCTGGTCAGCCAGGACAGCCAGGGCTGTTACACAGAGAAATCCCGTCTTGAAAAACCAAAAAAAAAAAGAAAAAAAGAGAAAGAGATGGCAGCAGTGGTGGCTTCGTGGTAGAGCGCCTTCCTAGCATGCATAAGGCTCTGCTTACATCTCTACCGCCACCAAAAAAGGAAAAAAAAGTTAGCAAACATATAATAAAGGTAGAACCCGACAGCGGAGCTTTCTGACGTAACACAGTATACCACTGTCCTGTCTACTAAATAGGCCAAGAATCTGAACTAGAATTACAAATCTCATGACTGTCAAACAGCCAAACTCTGAGGGAAGAGTGAGCAACTGCCAGAGTCTGAATATGGTGCATTAACAGGACAAGACATTCTACTTCAAAACAATACCAAAGTGAGGAGAGGCCCCGTTACACAGTGTCCAGTAATCAGGTATTCCAAACAGAACCTTCCTCCTACAAGTGAGATGGCTGCGCTTGAGAGCATCCTAACTTGAACAAACCTAATGTATCAAAGACATTTCTGAGACAGCTGGCAGAAACTTAAGTGGACATTAGAAGTTCATGCCAGGCTTGGTGGCACATGCCTCTAATGCCAGCACTTAGGAGGTGGAGGCAGGTCAGCTCAAGATCAGCCCTGGCTACACAGTAAGCATATAAGATGTTCTGAGGACAGCAAAATAGCTCAGCCACCAAGGTTGCCTCCACCAAATCTGACGACAGGGCAACCTGCTTAGAAGGAGAAAATCAGATCCTACAAGTTGCCCTCTGCCCTACACGCACGCACGCACGCACGCACGCACGCACACACACACACACACACACACACACACACACACACACAACACACACAAAACACACACAAAACACACACACAGGTTTTTTTTTTGTTTTTTTTTTTTTAATTTTAAGATTATTTTATGTGGGGCTGGAGAGATGGCTCAGCGGTTAAGAACATCTGGCTGCTCTTCCAGAGGTCCTGAGTTCAATTCCCAGCACCCATATGGTGGCTCACAACCATCTGTAATGAGATCTGGCGCCCTCTTCTGGCCTGCAGGCATACATGCAGGCAGAACACTGTATACATAATAAAATTAAATCTTTTTAAAAAAAAATTATTTTATGTGTAGGAGTGTTTTTCCTGCATCACATGCATGCCTGGTGCATGCAAAGGGAACTAGAGTTAGGGATGGCTGTGAGCCAACACGTGAGTGCTGGGAACTGAATTCAGGTCCTCTCCAAGAACAGCAAGTGCTCTTAACCACTGAGTCATCTGTCCAACATATAAATCACTTTAGAGCAGCTCTTTTTTTTGAGACTGGGTCCCTCTATATAGCCCTGCCTGTCCTGGAACTCACTATGTAAACCAGGCTAGCCTCAAACTCACAGAGATCCGCCTGCCTCTGCCTCCTGAGTACTAGGACAAAAGGTGTGCACCATCACATGTGGCTAAACCTTGTTATTATTTTTGAGAAATTAGGCTGGTCACACAGCTCAGAGAAGGTCATGCTTACTGTGATGAGGACCTGGTTCAAGCCTGAGTACCAGAATAAAGACAGGGGATAAAAAGGGGCTATCGACAGGCCAAGGAACTGACAGAAGAAACCACCTCACTTTCATTGACCTTGCCAGACAGCACAGTGCCGGTGCTGACATGGCTGGGCACTCTGCCTGGCAGAGGGAGGGCAGACCCAATCATGATCAGACCCCAGATAAAGTCAGAACTCATCAAAGGGCTCTACCCTCAGAAAAGGAGGAAGCCAGGGGGGGAAATTACCCATCAAGGCAGACAGTAATGAAACTGAGACCTGCTCATCCCTAGGAGGGGGTGAGAACTGGGCACTGTCTAGCTCCTGATGAGAGTTAGAGCTTGAATGCATATTTGGGACACTTTCAAAAATCTGTAAATCTCCTTTATTCTGGCAATTGCATTTCAAGGAGCACTTCTCTAGACAGATGTAACTGAAAAATACACAAAATGTGCACAAGATCAGTCGACATGGCCTTGTTTATAATCAGAACAAGGTGGAAACAATGCAAATGTCCATCAGTTGAAACTGAATAAATTTGGGTGGAATCCTACACAGACCTAAAAATAATGTGGCAATCCCAGTGCCTATGGGAGTAATCTTGGAGGCTGTTTTGAAGAGTAAAGTAAACAAGGGACAAAAGTCCATATACATATAGGATAAGAATCAGAACATGGACAAACCTTGTTCTTGCAATATAGTCCTGACTGTGTGGTCATTTCTTCTATAAATATTATTTCAAAAGCCAGCAGTTAAAGATGGAATCAATGAATAGTACCCAAGATGCCTAGCCAAGTTAATTCTTTTTGGATAGATATGCCCCAGCCTAGAAAACAAGAGTCATGATGGAGATGCCTATAAACAGCCAGGAGTCCTGACAGTATGGGCAGGTATGGTGGTTTAAATGAGAATGGCCCCATAGGCTCATAAATTTAAATACTCGTTCCTCGGTTTGTGGAACTGTTTAGGAGGGAGGAGGAGGAGGAGGTGTAGCTTTGGGGGGGGGGGTGCTTTGAGATTTCAAAAGCTCATGCCATTCCCAGTCTCTGTTCTCTGTCTCATGATGGGAGCTCAGCTGCTGCTCCAACCCTATGCCTACCTGCCTACTGCCATGTTCCTTTGCCATAAAGGTCATGGACTCTCTGGGCTGTGGTGGCGCACACTTTAATCCCAGCACTCGGGAGGCAGAGCCAGGCAGATCTCTGTGAGTTTGAGGCCAGCCTGGTCTACAGTGCGAGAGCCAGGAAAGGCACCAAAACTACACAGAGAAACTCTGTCTCGAAAAAACAAAAACCAAAACAAACAACAACAACAACAAAAAAAGGTCTTGGACTTTAACCCTCTAAAACCATAAGCCCCCAATAAACTCTTCTATAAGTTCCCTGGTCACAGTGTTTTGTCACAAGAATAGGAAACTAAGACCGCAGGGTAGCAACTGTACCTTGGAAGCAAAGCGTAGTGAATTGAGAGACTCGGAGACATTCTCTTCCAGAGGGGAAATGTTCACAAACATGAGCCTGTGGGAAGAGAAGGGTCCAAGCAGCATCAGTGGTCTGCCAAGGCTGCACACCTAGAGCTGTCTCCTTCCCTGCCCATCTCCACTAGTCCCTACAGCCCCTTCAATCGCCCCTCCCTTCCACTCACATCTTGGCACTGCCGCCCAGCGAGTTCTGCAGCAGGTAGGTAAGCTTGCTGTTTCGGTAAGGCACATGGGACTCCTGAAGGGTAAGGGGCACAGGTAGTTAGGACAGGGCAGGGTTCTCCACAGCTCATGCCAGCTGGCCCCCTTGTCTTACCTGCCCATGCATCCATTCCTACCTTATTGCTTAGGGCCATTATGACCAGTCCCAATGTAGATAGACTGCTGTTGATGGCCTGCGTTTCCCGAAGGCGATCACGCTCCCCAGGGCCCAGGGTTAAGCCAGGGTCTAGCCGTTCACTCCCAGCCAGGTCCACAAGGTTGAGGGGAGCACCACACTGCAAGCCCCGAGCAGCATGCTCTCCAGAAATCTGCAGCTGGAACACACTGTGACTGCGTGATGATCTCTCATTCTGGGCAGTACGGGCCACGGCCCGATTCTGGCGAGCCAGCTGGAGCAGAGCCTCCACCTGGGGATGGGTTAGCAAGGGTCAGTCAAAAGCTAGGGCTGTCAAAAGCTAGGACGTGCTGATGAAGTATGGCAATGAGTAAGTCCACCCCTGCCCTCTTGGAGCAAAACACAGACTAGCAGGAGTATGTATACATATTTAGACAGAACAGCCTGGGTTGGGTCCTGTCACACAAGCCTATAATCCCAACCACTTGGGAGGGTGAAGCAGAAGAATTCAAAGTTCAAGGACTCCTTGAGATACAGAGGAAGTTCTGAGCAACTTGGTGAGGCCATGTCTCAAGATAAAAACAGACTAGGTGTGGTGGTTTAGGCCTATAATCCCCAGCACTTAGGAGGCTGAGACAGGAGGATTGCCTTGAATTCAAAGCCAGCCTGGGCTATGGTGCAAGATTCTCAAAAGGAATAAAAGGACAACACAAGTGGCCTCACTGCCTGAAGACCTCCAGAGAAGGAGCAATGGAGCAGCGCCTAAGAGCCCTGAGACAGGAACAGAAAAAGTAACGGGCAGGCTAGGGGGACCTTAGCACCGAGTCCTGAGACGGACCTGGCAGGATTCTAGTGACAGTCACCCTCAGATGCATCACTTCTCTCTACTCCTTGGCCTTATCAAAGCAAAGCAGCCTTGCAGCCTACCAGCTAAGTCTAGTGTAGTGATAGCCACCCTCACAGCCCATCCTTCGTCCTTTGGCATGCTTTTGTCTACAAGACTCTGCCCACTCCTCCCCTCCAGGCCCTACTGGTCCTCACCTCTTTCTCACAGGAAACAGGGACATAGCGTGCATTGGTGACAGTAAGCTCCTCACTCCCTGGACCTGCCCGACGAATCTCACACTCGCTTCCTTGCCCTTTCCGGGTCCCAGTGGCGAGCAGGTCTCGGACAGTCTCATTGTAGATTTCTACATAACTTGCCACAAAACTGTATGTCCAGCCCTGGCCATTCATCTCCTGGGCCACAGAGAACAGATGCCGCAGGGCCCGAGGGATCAGCCCCTCCAACTGGGGGTCTCCCCCAGGCCCGCCCTCCATAGTGAAGGTCTTGCCGCTGCCTGTCTGTCCATAGGCAAAGATACACACAGGGTAGCCATCCAGTGCTGACTGGACAAGCATGGAGATCTCCTCAAATACTTCGTCCTGTTTGCTTCCTGGTGGGAATACCCGATCAAAGGAGAAATCATGGCGGGTAGTGGGTGCTGGTGCCCCAGTCAGGGTCGAACGCCGATCATCAGACCGTGAGAGGCTAAGGCGGGTTGGGGGATCAGACGGTCCAGCAGGGCCATGGGGAAACAGGAGGAAGCCAGGGGATGGAGTGGGTTCCCCTGCAAGGACAGGGCGCACCCGGCAGAACACCCGGATGTTGCCCTTCAGCTCCTGCAACTGGTTGTGGAGCCGGCGGCGCTCCATCTCCAGCCCGTGCAGCCGGTCTCCCTGCTCGACCAGTGAGGTTGCCTGGGCTGCAGTCCTCTGCCGCAGACACTCCAACTCCGCTTCACTGCTTGACAGAGCTGCTTCTGAGGCCTGTAACCTCCTCTGCCCGGTGGAATGCAAACGGTAATTAGAGCAAGGATCGAAAGGGGCAGGTCTCTAGCAGCATGGACTTCAGTCTGTTAAGAGGTAAGAAAGGCAGGCAGTGGTGGCGCACGCCTTTAATCCCAGCACTTGGGAGGCAGAGACAGGTGGATCTCTGTGAGTTCGAGGCCAGCCTGGTCTACAGAGTTCCAGGACAGGCTCCAAAAAAAGAAAGAAAAGAAGGAACTCTGGCTCTAGGATAGGAGTATGAAGGGAATATCCAGGAAGATGCTATCCAGAGTGACAATACTGGAGTGAACCAAGGGAAGGGTGGACGTGCATATCAAAAGTGCTAGAAGTGAGACTCAAGTCAACTGAGAGCCAGTAGTGCCACCTAACTGGAAAGGCAGTGTCAGGAGTTGCTCGGAGGACCTGGGTGCAGGGACACCCTTCTGAGCTCGAGGAGAGGAGTGAGGCCTCTGCTACGGAGGGAGGCGGCACTCTGAGGATCTGCCCTTACCTCTTGCTCCTCCAGCCGGGTGGCCAGTGCCTTCCGTTCCTCCTGCAATTCCAGCTGTCCTCTCTGAAGCTCCTGAATCAGCCTTTCCTTGGTACCCAGCCATTCCTCCAGCTCCAAGACCCGGACACACAGAGTGTCCAGTTTCTGCTGGCTCTGCTCGGCCTGGGTCCGTACACTGGCCAGCTCCCCTTTCAGGGTGTTCCGCTCTGTCCCCAGGGCCTCAGCCTGCTCCTGGGCCTCTCTGAGTTGCTCCTGAAGCCCCCGGTTCTCCTGGTCCAGCTTTTGCGTCTTCTCCCGATAGCGCTTCAGCTCTTCATTGATGTCGCACAACTGACCCTTCAAGTCCCAGGCAGGACGTTTACCAGGCCTCTTCCCTACCACCATAGGGGCAGCCGATGCTAACCCAGGACAGAAGAGGCACAGGTCAAGAGTCTTGGCTTGCTACCCTCAGGCCTCCATACCTCGTGCCACATCTGTCTCTCCTCTCTAGACAGGAAGGCAGCAGATGTTTTCTGGGCACTCACCACCTTATCTTCCCCACCCCAGCCTCTCACCCAATGTTTATATGTCACCTACTGCCAGGCTTCTGGGCAGGAACAGCAGGAGCTGGCTTCTGGTTCTTCAGCACTAGAGAATTAGAGAGTTGTTGACACAGAATTATAGGTTGGACACTGTAGGGCACACCTGTAACCAGCACTTGGGAGGCCAAGGCTGGAGAATTGCCAGTTCAAGGTCAACCTGAGCTCTAGCGAGTCTCAAATGAAAAAAGAAAAACACAAGGCTGGGCTAGGGAGATGGCTGAGCAGTTAAGAGCACCTGCTGCTCTCACAGAGGACCTGGGTTTGGTTCCCGTCATCCTTGTCAGGAGACTCTCAACCACCTGTAACTCTAGCTCCAGAGGATTCAATGCCTCCCTCTGTGCACATATATGCTCAGATACATATACATAACACCTAAAGTAAAATAAAAAATAATAAATCTTAAAACAAACCAACCAACCCAAGGGCTGCGATGTGACTTAGTGGTAGAGCACTTGTCTAATACGTGCAAGGCCCTGACTTAACCCCCAGCCCACCCTCCCACAAAAAGACTTGTAGGACCAGAGCTCCTCTGTCACCATCCCCCTCACATGGACCCAACTCCCTGGTCAGCCCCAGCTTAAGTACCATTACCTGGACCGACCGTGGTGCAGCCACGAAGTCCTGTCTTCTTAGGGCCTTTCGGAGCTGTCCAAGATGGAAGAGAGGAAGGAACATTACCCACTCTTAGGGAGCATGTACTGACACATATTTTAAAGGGTTAGAAAGAAGATAACTCTCCTTGTCCTTTGTCTGGCCAGCTCCTAATGGCCCTTCTAGGACCAGACACAACTCACTACGCCAGAACTCAGCAAGTGAAAAGAGCAAGTGGGCAGAGCTGTGCACACAGTATGTGGCTACCTGTTCATGTCTGCTTTCACACTCATGTCTCCTCACTGTGTATACACAGCTACCCCTGGAAGAACTAGACCCGAAGAGAAGAGGTGGAAAGAAAGAATTTCACCTAACAACCTTTGTGCCTTTGAAATTCTGAACCAAGTAGAAAGTTATTATTGACTCAAAACAGATAAAATTTGAAAGAGAAAGAAAGAGTAAGAGAGCAGCATACTTCCCAAACCTCGGTCCAGCCCGCCCGGGAACCCACCTGCAGCCGGGCCCTGTGTCTGTGACACTGTGCTGAGGACTGCTCCTCTGGGGCGGGATGTATCAATTTTGGTCACTGCACCCAGGCCTCGTGTCCGTTTCTGGGGAGAGATAAGGATGGGGTTCCATAGTGACCTGTCCTTGTTCTCCCCCCTCCCCCCTGCTCTCCAAACATATCTCACCTTTGCAGGCTCCAAGGCATCCTCCATCTGGTCAGGACCCCTCTTGAGCCTGGTTCCTGGAAGGGGCAGTCGGGAAGAGGCCTTGACCAGGGCTGTCTTCAGCTCCAAGTTCCTCTTCACTTCCAATAAAGGGGGCCTCTGTTAGAAAAAGAGGATCTTAAACTAAGACCAAGCCGGGAATGGTGGCATAAGCCTTTCATCTCAGCACCTGGAAGGCAGAGGCAGGCGGTTCTCTGAGTTTGAGGCCAGCCTAGTCTACAAAGTGAGTTCCAGGACAGCCAGGGCTAGGCAGAAAAACTCTATCCCAAAAAACAACAAAGACAGACCCAAAAGCCCACAAACTCCCCTTTTTGGAGCTCCCCCTACCTTAATTTTCAATATTGACAATCAGCAAGCATTAACTGAGTATCATTTGTGCCAAAAGTTGGCACTGTGTGCCAGATAAACAGCACAGAGAGATGGGGAGCATGACAGAGGAGTGGGGACTACCTCTAGGGAGAAGCTAGAGGGAAGCTGGACTATGGCTGACTTGTAGAGTTGAACTCAAGCAAACAGAACATGCTCCTGGAAGACAGACATTCTAACACACAGTACAGCTACGAAGCCAACAGGCCTTTCTAGTTAAGGCCAGGACCAAACAATAAAGGAGAGGGACCCTTGCTGGGAGGAGCAGGCTGTTCACAGAGTGCCATCTTAAATGCTTCATCTCTAGGTACCATGATTAACTAATTCTGCAAATGGGGGAAGGCAGACACCATGAGGTCAATGCCTATCGGAGGTCATGTTTGCACCACTAGTGGAGGGAGGCCAAGAAGAGGCTGTCAAGACCCCCTTAGACTGCTTTTGGCCACCATATGGATGCTAGGAATTGAACTCAGGTCCTCTGTGAGCCCAAGTGTGCTAAGCCATCTCACCAGCCCCTTAGCTTGCTTTCTTATATAACCCTGGCCCACCTGCCACATCAACATAAATCAAAACAATTCCCCAATTAAAGTTCCCCCTTCTCAAGTGACTTAATTTGTGTCAGGCTGACAATAAAAACTAAGCAGTGCGGGGCGGTAGTGGCACACGCCTTTAATCCCAGCACTCAGGAGGTAGAGGCAGGTGGATCTCTGTGAGTTCAAGACCAGCCTGGTCTACAGAGTGAGTTCCAGGACAGGCACCAAAACTACACAGAGAAACCCTGTCTCAAAAAAAAAAAAAAAAAATTAAGCAGTATACAACAGGAGTTGGTTCGGGTCTTTTCCTTCGGCCATGCAGGTCCTGGGGATCCAATTCAGGTTGTCAAGCTTGGCAGCACGTGCCTTAACCTCTCACCAGCCCTTTATAGGACTTTTAGGTACAGTCTTGAGGATGAGTTGGTTTCATGAGCAAGGCGCAAGGACAATCACCCCAGTAAAGAAGCAAAAGGGGGCGGGGCTGGAGAGATGGCTCAGCGGTTAAGAGCACTGACTGCTCTTCCAGAGGTCCTGAGTTCAATTCCCAGCAACCACATGGTGGCTCACAACCATCTATAATGAGATCCGGTGCCCTCTTCTGGCCTACAAGCATGCATGTAGGCAGAACACTGTATCCATAATAAATAAATAATTTAAAAAAAAAAAAAAAAAGCAAAAGGGGGCACATACAATAACAGCAGAGTCCTATTCAGACAACACACAGGGTACACCAGAGAGGGAGAGAAGGCAGACAAGAGGGAGGAAACTGCTGGACACTCAAGGGGAGAGGTATTCGGAGGATGTGAGCCATGCATGGCAACACACTCTAATCCTAGCACTCAGGCGACTGAGACAGCAGGACCACAAGTTTGAGGCTGGCCTGGCTGGACTATAAGCAAGATTTAAAAAAAAAACAAAAACAAAAACCGTGAGCATTTGAAAATGAATACAGGTAGAAGAGAGCAGATGAGTAATGTCATATGCAGAGACTGCATTATTCATCCAGCAGGGCTTGGTGAACATCTGCTTTGCAGCAGACATGGAACTTGGCCAAGAGTGGTGAACACCAAGTCCTTGCCTTCTCAGAGCTCATTTTCTAGGTAACTGCCAAACTGGAGCTCTGTAAATGAACTAAACCATAGAAAATGATCTACTTTCTCTAGAGTATAAACACCTCTTGCCATGTTGAGTGCCTGGGACAGAATGTAATTCTCTAGATCTAGTGACTAGATGCAGAGGATGCTTTTGGGCACCAGGGCTGCACTCTCATGGAACCCAATGAGAAGTGTTACAGGGGCCTGAGCACTAAACACAAGTTCATCTGGGAGAAGCAGGTGAGTGGTCACAAAGCTGGCCGTGGCTTTCCTGAAGCCAGTGGTGGTATAACGAGGAACCGGCTGGGGGTGGGTGGGCAGGAGCCGAGAAAGTCTAAGCTGACTCCAGGGTGCCTACCACAGCTCCATTGTCACATCACAGGAGGAAGGTCTGATTTAGTTTCATTTTTTTTTTTTAACTGTTGCTCCAGAGAGGGGGCTGGGTGTTGAGCAGAAACCTGAAGGCTATTAAGGGGAACTGAGTATATGTATTAGCCAGCCCACTGGCCAGAATCTGTAGTATGCCCCAAACCCCAGGGGCTTGTACACTGGCTGAACCTGAGGAGTCAATCCAGCAACCGAGCCCCGCAACCTGGGCCCCAGCATTGCCTGTGCCCTCACCAACGGTACAACAGTGTCTCACTCTGAGGACAGATCTGCTGATCTCAACCCTCTCACCAACGGTACAAAAGTGTCTCACTCTGAGGACAGATCTGCTGATCTCAACCCGTAAAGGAAGAATTTGGTGAGACTGTAACAAAGACTGGAGAGGGTTCTGACTACACAAGCACTGGCTGTGTAGTCACTGGGAGAGCTGGGAACAACTACTAACTCACCTAGTAGTGAACTTAACCCAGGAGAAGAACTAAAACATTTATTTTTGGTTGTGAGCCTAGCCTTTAACGGCTGAGCCATCTCTCCAGCCCAACTAAAACATTTAATGACACATACAGAGTCATCAAGATGGAGTCCTGCAAGAATGGGTTGTGATAAGACCAACTGTGGAACCTCCTTATACCCCTGCACACATTGCAAAGGCTAACAAAGCAAGCTGGTTTGGTCCAGCTTCAGAAAAGCATCTTTGTTAGGCATGATGGCAGATGCTTATACTTCCAGCTATCTGAGAGGGTAAGACAGAGTTCAAGCTCAAGGCTGTGTTTAACCAAACTTGGAAAAAACCAAAGACTTGATGATAGCCTATGAGCAGAGCATGCAGCAAGAGCCGTTCAGCCTCCAGCCCAAAAATGAAGAAGGCTGCCAAGGTAGCCGAGGAAGTAAGGGCCCTCGCAGCCAAGCCTGATACCTAAGTTTGACGCCCTGGACTCATGGCTCCAGAAAGTTGTCCTCTGACCTCTAGAAGTATGTCACAGCACACACACATGCACACAAAGCAAATCAATAGCCTTGCTTGCATAGAATTTACAAGCTGACAGTCCCACCACCACTTGCGTTGCATGGCAATGAACGTGGACATGGCCCACTACTTCTAGTCTGTCAGCTACTGCACACCGTGAATGGTGTTCTCAACTGACTTTTTGTGCAAAGCTGTTAAAAGAAGCTGTCCTGGCCAGCAATCCTCAGCTACATAAAACCCCAGGTCAGCCTCAGCTACACGGATTAGGGGGTGGGGTGGAGTATCCCTGTAACTTAGAAAGTAACTACAGTGGTAGGTTTTCTTAGTTGGATCTCTTTCCCAATTCCTTAACTGCCACATACTTTGAATGTCTGAACATCTGAGCCATGTGCATCCCAGCTAAGCTATGACTGGGGTGGAACATGTCTATAGATGATAACGTCGCCCCACAGTGATGCTAAAAAGATGATGCTAACATGGTTCTCATACTTTTTTCTACAAAGAAAGTGAACAACAACAACAAAGGCCAGGCATGGTGATCCCAACACTATGGAGGCAGAGGCAGGTGAATCTCTGTGAGTTTGAGGCCAGCCTGGTCTGTATAGCCAGTTCTAGACCAGCCAGAGTAACATGGTAATTTATTGCTGACTAATTGAAAAGCATTACCTTCTGTGTTTGCTTTTTGTCCTCCGGTGACTTACTTATTGTGGACAACTCTAACCAGCATAAATGGTATTTCTCTCCCTTCTGTAACTGTAGACACAGAGATCAACTCTCAGAAGGACTTAACTGTCAATGGAAGGAGACACATTCAACCCTTTCATCTCCAGAACATCCCAGATGGAGGCTGCTCCTGAGGCGACCCTCCGAGTGCCTCAGACCCACCTTGACCAGCTCCAGAACATCAGCTGTTCATTCTACTCAGTCCCTCCAATCAGTGTGCAACAGACACCACAGCTCATTCTTCCGACCAGTGTGCAACAGACACCACAGCTCAGTCCTTCCGACCAGTGTGCAACAGACACCACCTCAGAAACTCCTCTCCCCAGTGCTCTCTGGCACTGCACTGCTCTTTGTAGCAAAACTCAAAAATAGTTTCTCAACCTGTGGGCTGCAACCCCTTTGGGGTCAAATGACCCTTCACATGGGAGCAAATCAGACACCTTGCATACCAGATATTTTCATTATGATTCATAACAACAGCAGAGTTACAGTTATGAAGTAGCAATGAAATAATGTTATGGTCGGGTCACCACAACATGACAAACTGGTCACAGCGTTGGTAAGGCTGAGAACCACTGACATGGGCGTTCACTGCCTTCAGTTTATCTCCTCGACAAATTTCACTTCCACCGTCCCCACAAAACTGCCATCCTCCAGCCGGGCAGCGGTGACGCACGCCTTTAACCTCAGCATTTGGGAGGCAGAGGCAGGCAGAGCTCTGGACCTGCCTGGTTTACAGAGCGAGTTTCAGGACCGCAGGCCCACACAATCAGTTTTGCATTCTGTTTCTTTTGGGTTTGTTTTCTTCGTTTGTTGAGACAGTGTATCCCTGGACTGAAACTCAAAACCCTCTGCTCAGCCTCTGCACGCTGACCTCAGGTCTTGCTGCTTTTGGTTCAGGGGATTATAGAATCAGGGGGTTCTTGGGTGCTTGCCAGCACTGTACCACCAAGCTCCTCCCCCCAAGGAGTCACCAAGCCTTAGTCAATGGCACTCCTCCTGGCTTCCCTCTTCCCCTTGGACTGGCTTGAACCCTTTCTCAGCAAGTCCTTCACTGCCTTCCAATAGTCACAGATTTTATTTATTTCTGTCTCCCCAGTGACTATCAGCTCATTGGTGGCTGAGAGTTGTCCCCTACCTCAGTACAACTGTGCAGGGCACAGAGAAGACGCTCTGCAAGTATTGCCTGAACAGATCTGAGGAAACTTGGACTATTTTAACCGTCGCCTGTCACAGGGCACTACTCTCCTTTTTGGCTGTGAGTGTCCCGGAAAGTCTCTTCAAGTTGAACGCTGACTGTGGGTCAATCTAAACTGAAATACTAGTGAACAAAGAACGCAGGCCGGCCGTTCCTGGCACTAGAGGTCAGTACCTTAATGGCCACACATACACCTCAGATGGTTGTGAGTGGGGCAGGGCACCCATAAACTAGTCAACCAGTCAGTCCCGTTAGGCAAAAGAACGAGATGAGCGATTGCCCCATCTCCCCTTCCTCCATCCAGATCCGACAGCAAGGAGAAGTCAACACAACGGGGCATCGGCAGGGATGTGCCCTGGGACAAGGGACAAAGCCCCTCAGAACCCTCGCTTCTCCCACAAGGCTGTCTCTAAGAACTGGGAAGCAGAAACGCGTCGGGGCCGCTTGAGAATTCGAAATGGGAAATGCTGGGGACAGCTAAGTGACAGGGACGGTCGCGCCTGGCCGTCTGCCGCCTGCATGGCCCCGGCCGCCGGAGTGCAGCCGGGCATGCCCCCGACCTGTCCCCCAAGGCTCGGGTCACCGGGCGGCCGGCCCCGCCGCACTCACCTGCGCCTGCATGTCCATTGCGGTCCTCACAAGACCGGATGCAAAGGAAGGGGACGGGGGGCCGGCGTCCCGGGACCTGCGTCCTCCGCGGGCTCGCGCGACACAGCCCGAGCGCCGAAGGGGCCTGGCCACCTGCCACACCCGCCACTTTTGAATTTCAACCGCCGCGCTGCCGACTCACCGCTCCATCCGCAGAGGCCAATCCGCGCCGGCGACACGGCCGCGAGCCAATCACAGTGCCCTCCGCCTTCGGGGCCACGCCCTCTCGGCGGCAACTGTTTCCCGTCACCTCGGCGCCAGAGAACCAGACACTTGGAACCTACTTCCGGATCCGCTTTTTCCTCTTTCTTTTTTTTTTTTTCCCCCCGCCCTCTCCCCCTCCTTTACGCGGAGCGCGCTGCACTTCCGCTCGGGCAGCGTCAGAAGTGCGCGCGTGTGGAGGAGTCGGGCAGGGGCGGGCCCGCGTCTGCAGGGGCGCCACCTAGCGGCGCATGCGGGAAAGGCACGCCTCCTCGCCAGCCCGCGCGGGGCCGAGAAGCGGGAGCCGGTCTGATGGCGCCGACCTGTCTCCGAGCAAAAGGTGGCGGTCTGGCGATACGACAGCAGCGGTAACGTTCACCTCGCATGCCGAGGCCCTGAGTTCCATCGCCAGCGCGAGAGGGAATAAAAGCAGGGAGGGAGGGAGGGAGGAAACAGCATGGGAAGGCGCAAAATCAGAATACAAGACCCGTGCAGTGTGTTCTCAAATGTCCCGCGGCGTGGTCATAAAACTAGAGACGGGGGGGGGGCGGGCAGGATAACAAAACGGTCATCCCTGGAACCAGTACAGTGGGAGGGGAGAACTGACTCTCCGCAAAGTCTTCTCCGACCTCCACAAGTGTGCCCTTCCCGCACTCACTATTAAATACATATATATTTATTATATATTGTCTGTCTGTTCTGTTTTCTTCCAGACTGGGTTTCTCTGTGTAGCCCTGGCCGGCCTCGAACTCACAGACGTCCGCCTGCTTTCCTAGCGCTGGGATTAAACCACCGCTAGGCTCAATAAACACATTTTTTAATTAAAAAAGACCAGAAGCCAGGTGGTGGTGGTGGTGCACGCCTTTAATCTCAGCACTCAGAAGGCAGAGGCAGGCGGATCTCTGAGTTTGAGAGCAGCCTGGTCAACAGAGTGAGTTCTAGGATGGCCAGAACTATGTCGAAAAACCCTGTTTTCAAAAATAAATGAATAAATATAATAACAATGATAACAAATACACATAAAATAAATATTTTTTAAAATATTTTTTAGATCATTGGATAGTGGTGGTGCAAGCCTTTAATCCCAGCACTCAGGAGGCTGAGGGAGGCAGATCTCTGTGAACTGGAGGCCAATCTGGTCTACATAATGAATTCCAGAACAGCCAGGGCTCTATAGAGAGACCCTATCTCAAATAAATAAATAGTATGGTTTTTTTTTAACATCAACTTGTAAACCCCTCCCCCCAAGATCTCATTTGAGATGTTTCTGAGTACAGGTGGGGGACACTGGAAAATTCTTGGTTGTAATTTTCCAAAGATTAATGGTTTTTAGACTAGATAGTATTTCCCTAGTGACTTTCTAGAAAAAAGCAAAAATTTAGTCAGTAACAAAGTTTGAGTTTATCTTTGCTTGTTTTTTTTCAAGACAGGGTCTTTCTGTGCAGACCAGGCTGGCCTCGAACTTACAAAGATCCACTTGTCTCTGCCTCCGGAGTGCTGGGAGCCTTTAAAGGCGTGCGCCACCACCGCCCGGCCTGAGTTTGTCTTTTTTTTTTTTTTTTTTTTTTTTTTTTTTTGGTTTTTCGAGACAGGGTTTCTCTGTGTAGCTTTGCGCCTTTCCTGGAACTCACTTGGTAGCCCAGGCTGGCCTCGAACTCACAGAGATCCGCCTGCCTCTGCCTCCCGAGTGCTGGGATTAAAGGCGTGCGCCACCACCGCCCGGCTCTGAGTTTGTCTTTTATTGAAAGCTGTTTTAAGAGTTTATCTTTCTTAGCATGAAGCCTGACAGCAAGGTAAGCTGCTGGTGAGTTTTTACATGTGCAATGGACTGACCTGGCGGCTGCAGCCTTGAGGAGCTGGCTGAGGTTGCTGCTAAACTGTCTGATAAAGCTAGAGCTCCCCCATGGATGCCATCGCCGGTATCCGAGAAGGGTACACTTGAGCAGGAAGTATAAACCAAACGGCCTCTGTGTCAATTAGAATGAGAGAGACTTACCACAGCCCCCTGGGATCCTCCCCCAGGGGGTGATCTCAAAGACTTTGTTGGGGGCAGAGGTCATCAGCCTTCAGCTGTCACAGGGCAGCATCAGCCTTTGGCAGCCAGACCCAGAAGGTCTGAGCGATTTTCCTGTGGAGAGGGAACTTGCGAGGACTGGCCCACCCTGGTCAGGCAGAGCAGGGCAGTCAGCCCGGCAGGGTCTTCAGTGTGGCCAGGGCCTGCCAGCAGGAAAGGAGTGGGGCAGTGTTTGCCCAGTGGTCAGCGCTACTGCACTTGAAGCAAGCTCCAGGTGAAGTCAGTTGCTGCCCATCTTTGGAAACTGCATCAGCTGCTTGCTACCAGAAACTGGTATTTTGTCTATCCGGAGAGGCCCTTTTCATTAAACATCTTAAATGCCATATTCAGCAGATTTCTCTGAGGGGTTTGAAGGCCAGCGTCTATTCAGTATACCTGACTTGAAACAAACGACTTGTTTTAGTTATTTGCTTTAGGCTCAACCTTGACAGCATATACAGAAGGCTAACAACGTTTGTCCTTGTAAATGAGTTACATTTGTATGTAACATGACTGCAGACATAGTTTTTGAAGGGACACTAGCCCACTCGAACATGTGGCTCTGGCAGCCCTTGGCCTTCTCTCCATTCCCTCTGCCTTGCTAAAAACCGTTAGCTGGGATTAAAGGTGTGCACCACCACTGCCCGGCCCAGTTTTTAAAGCTAAACCGAGTTAGCAAAGACAAAGAGGCTAGACGTACAATTTCAAGTCAGTTTTTGCTAGCCTGAATGGACCTTAGGAATTCATAAAGTTTATTCATCAAACATGTTCGTGATCTAAAAAAATATTAGAAGCCTCTGTTGACACAGTTAGCAAAGACGTAAGTGTTGAAGCACACATCTCTAAGTCAGCTTCTGTAACCTGAGGAGACCTGTATACCCTCGGGAATTTACAGACCTTAGTCATCAAACATGTCTTTAAGTCATATTTTCATAAACCTTGTTCATGCTTTTGTCTTCATCTGGTGTGGTGTGGTTTGGTTTTTTTCCCTCTCAGGACAAAAATCATTATATGAAAATTCATCTTAACCCAAAATCTTTTGGAGACTTGCTGTTGACTTCTTAGTCTAAAAAGTAGATACAGCCAGGCCAGTGGTGACGCACGCCTTTAATCCCAGCACTGGGGAGGCAAAGGCAGGCAGATCTCAGTGAGTTCGAGGCCAGCCTGGTCTACAAAGTGAGTTCTAGGACAGTCAAGGTTGTTACACAGAGAAACCCCGTCTTGAAAAACCAAAAAAAAAAAAAAAAAAAAAAAAAATAGTAGCTACAATGATAAGCAGAGGACTCAGTGGGACTGAAGTTTTATGGGTTCTGTCTTGGTCGGTTTACACTATAGCAGCAAGCCACATAGTTGCCATTTACTCTCTTACAAGTTTTAAGCTATTTTTTTGTTACAGGTTTCAACCATACCCAGTGAATTTACAAATTCTGAGATACAGAAGGTTTACACAATGTTCTTAGAAATCTTGAGATTAAAGCTATACTTTAGCAAAAGTTTTAGAGATGTAAGAGAAGGGAGTACTTTAGAGAGTTAAATAAAGCCAAGAAGAGGGGTGTGAGCTAAGCGGCCTGATCTCCGCTAGAACGCTTCATGTTTTGCCTGTTTTAGAGCACGGATTGTCTTTGCCTGGGCTGCTTTATTTTGCTCTCCTCCTCCCTGCCACAGAGTCAGGGGGCCTGCCTGACCCAGGGAAGAGATTTTGGGGGAAACTTTTCAACAAGCATGCTTGGGTCTGGAGAAAGCAGGCTGTAACCCAACTCCAGAACCAGTTTTTTTACAGAGCAATAACACAACGTTTCAGTATTATCCATACCACAAAGACATTTGAATTTTTGCAAGGCTTGAATCCGGTGGTCAGAGGGAGGGACAAGATCAAAGAAGGCTCAGAGAGAGGAGATTTTTGAGAGTGGAGAGCAGAGGAAGTTAAGAGATAAGGGATTTGGGGATCATTTGTTCGTGCAGTGGTAGAGGCTGTACAATCTCTGAGAATTTGGAAATCAAGTGTCTCATCTTTGGCCATTGAGCTGCGCTGAGGCCAAGCACTGAAAGAGCGAGACTTCACACAAACCTCTGAGTCTGAGGAGGGCAAGAGATGGAGCTCGGGCTCCAGCAGGCCAGCAGGAGGGACAGAGTGAGCTCCAGGAGAGAGCTGAGGGACAGCGGGGAGGGAGCCAGGGGCAGAGCAGGGAGATGGGACAGACTTTAGGAAAGGGGACCACAGGGGGCGGGGAGAGCGAGGATGGAAGAAGAAGAGTGCGTGTTCCGGTAGCAAGAATTTCAATCCCGGCTGTCCCCAAGTGGACCGAGAGACGAGTCAGAGAGAAATGTCCCAAAGCACAAAGGCGAGGTGTCCCTTTCTGAGTGACAGGTGCCAGTAGGGTAAGAGAAGCTGTGTGACTCACCAACGTGACTTTGTAGGTAACAGGCTCCAGGAGCCAACAGGGACAGAGCAGCCAGCTCCAAGGTGACACTTACCTGAGCACCATGCAAGAGTAGGTGGAGAAGAGAAGTACTGGAAAGTCTGGACTGGACTCAAACTCGGTGGATGGCAGAAGCCAGCGGAAACATATGATCCACACCTACGGAGGGTCACCCAGTCGGCCCCGGCTATTAGGGGAAAGTTAAAACAATTTAAAGGTGTAAGTAGGTCCCGGTTGCTGGAGGTGGATCAAAAGGTACACAGCACTGACTGGGAAAAGACCTTTTGCAAAAACCGAAAGTCAGCCGGGCGGTGGTGGCGCACGCCTTTAATCCCAGCACTCGGGAGGCAGAGGCAGGCGGATCTCTGTGAGTTCGAGGCCAGCCTGGTCTACAAAGCAAGTTCCAGGAAAGGCGCAAAGCTACATAGAGAAACCCTGTCTCAAAAAAAAAAAAAAAAA